AGTTGAATTTGGCATCAACATCGTGTTCGAACAAGTGTCTCATAGCTATTGAAATCTTGGTGGTCATACTGAATCTTAAGACATTCAAATCGTCGACGAAATAATGTCTTACCAGAACCGAAAAGACGATCCATGGTGGTGATAGCTTCATCCCATGAGAGGTCTGACGGCGACTTCGGTGCAATCGAACCGCAGAAGAGCTGGTGACTGTCTTCATCCAGGCGGCTGACCAGTAGGCGAGTCTTCTCTTGTTCGCTCAGCTCCGTACAGTCGTTGTCGAAGACGTCTTCGAATCGTTTGTACCATATATCGAATGTTCTTCCGTTTTCTGCGTCGAAAGTGAACCTGTCAATACGGCGGCACAAGGAGTCGAAAATGCTGTGCTTGGCAGCTGCTGGATTGGCTCCATTCATTCTCACTTTGTCTGAGGCGTGGAGAAAGGATTCGGCTCTCTCCCTTTGCTGCTGCTGCATGAAATTCAGCGCCTTTTCCTGCTGTTCCATCCGGCTCTGCATCAGCGAAAGAACTTCGGCAAGCTTCTCCATGAATCCGTGGCCTAATCGCCAGTGTTACGACCAGTTCTTGAAAGGAAGATTTATTGCAGGAAATAAACTGAACCTCACTTAGTCGAGGTGTTTATATACACCTCGAGGTCAGTGATAATACTAGATCATAAACAATCTTCATTTCCACAACAGGAGGGATACCATTTCTCGGGTTGTGGGCCGTTTCTCATGGTTCTTCCTTATTTCGTGTACCACTCACCATCCCTAGGTTAATTTGAAATGGGTTGCTTTTTCATCGTGAATTCGTCCTTCAAGAAAGGAAAGGAACAGGACTCAACTTTTTAGTGAGGTTTCTTGATGGCATGATTGGTGTTCAGAAATCCTTCTTTGAAATCAAAATCGAACATGATCACAACGAAATATTTTAGGAACAATTCCTATTTCCTTCTCTGTTCTCACTATCAGCGTCAACTTCCTTGCATCCTTCCTTACAAATACCCTTTTACTTCCCCCAGAAACTCCGCTGACCAGTTAGGTCTAGCCAGTTACCAGAAATGAAAACTTCCAAAAGTTTCTTGGAGAACTTTTCCAAAAACTTTGCTATTCACATTTCTCTTCAAGAAAACTTGCTCTTCAACACTGCATTTACGAACACCTAATCTATCAAACGGAGTAATTTTCGGCGGGCTCGTGGGCCTTATTATTAACGCATCGACGACAGCGCGCGTTCTTGCTTTACTGACCACATGGGACATGAGCACTTGGCGCGTGCGATCTCTGAGACGCGCAGACGCGTCGGTGCGTTTTTTGGAACTCAACCCTGAAAGCAGCGAAGCAAGAGTACAGTGAGATATGGGAGGGGGAGTCGGCGACGGCCTGTCTGCACCCTAGAGCGATATAGTGCCAACATTAGCGCAAAAAGGGACGTAAACTAAGGGCGGCCACCAGTGCCCATCCACTAACGACGAACTCCCTCCTTTGTGACTCTCCACCTCACAGCTATCGAAACCATTGTCTTTGCCTACGATTTACCCGGTCAATGAAGTCGAACAGAAAAGAGCAGTCGACTTCTGGAGCTATCGCTTACATGATCCGAATATGTGCTTTGTATTCCAAGCAAGAACGATAAAATAAACCTTGTATCGTAGACAAAACCGTTGAATCCACTCTCTGACATTGTCTTTCGTAGTACTTCAGCTCGTGGCTTTTCGTTAGCTGTTCCTAGTAAACGGACTCTCATCAGCATTTTTGTGGCCTTGATGTCGCCATCTGGATTGAATCTGGAAGGAGCACTTTGGAATAACTTGGTCAATTTGATCTTCAATGAGAACTTGTCGGATAGCGTAGAATAGGTTCACCTGATATCGCTTCTGTATTGAGGCTTCTGAGCTGACAGTGAAAGAAGAGCTGCATTGAAGGTGTGGCTAGTAAACGCCTTACCATTATGGAGCTTCTCGAATTCCTCCAACCAGAACTCGCCCTTCGATGCATACGGAGAACTGAAATCGTGGGCAGTGATAGAGAAACTTATGCCTGAAAACACTGGTCACACCAATACTCCTTTTTAACATACGGCCTGGAAAGGAAGTTTTCGCTGGTAATTATGGGCCGAAAAAAATGAGTAGCGTTGATCATCAATATCGCCTTAGGAAGGACCACAGTTTAGACTTCTCCATGGTCGTGGACGCATTTTAGTGCGTATTCAATTATTTATTTGTTTATACTGAATATGGATATGAATCAAAAACCTTCACCTGGAGAGGTCGTCGTACAATGTCAACAGCCTCCTTCTTTCGTTGGGATCGATCAGCGGCCAATTTTGAAGACGAACAACAGCGAAACAATAAAGGCCGTACTCTTTGAACAGCCGTTCCTCAGCCCGTAAAAAATCCGCCAAATATGAGCCAGACGGAGTCAACAGCTTTAAATCGAGTCCCAATGGCAACTCTAAAACATTCAAATAGAAACGCCAAGAAACCCTAGCGAAACAGTCTTTGAGATTTGAGTGCTCTTAAAGTTCCCAAGAGTTTCCTTTGTGTGAGCAATGAAGGAGAGAGAAAACTTTTCGAGACCCGTCTCTTGAGACGCGCCGTACATCGGGCTTCAATCAAAATTGTCGAGGTGTTAAACAAACAACGAGTAGTCGGTACGTGTGTTTTTGTTCTCAAACCTGAACCAACTGACGGTTCGAGCGTAGTGAACTATCTGGCAAACAATGAACGGAATTCGATCCCGTCAACCTTATCTCGGCCCTGACCCTTTAGACCCTAGGTTACCCTTTAGCGCCTAGGTTTGCCGGAAATAGATTTTTTAATGATAAAACTACTATTTCTAATAATTCAAAAATTAGCTTTAAGTTAACTGCTTGTTTTTTTTTGAGTGTTCTTGTTACTGTACAGGCTTTTATGCTCGATTTTTTTTTATGCCTGACGTTTCGAGAATTTCGTCGTTAAAGACCTGAAAGCATAGTAGGACTCCTAGGGTTAGGTTAGCTGTGAGCGGGATGGTAAAATAACAAGACGCTTCGAAATGCTTCCAGACCTTTAATAACGACGAAATTGTCAAAACGTCATTCATAATAAAAAAAACCCAACCATAAAAAACTTGTATGACTTAGCAGTAGCAAGAACACTCATGAAGAATGCCGAGTTCCAAGAAGGGCGGACATGGGGACTTTTAAGTTCAGTTTTTCAAGTTAGCCCATGTGAATTACCGAGTGCAAAGTTGATTGAAGCTGTTAAGTAGATGAAGTAGAGGACAACAATCAGACTTTTCCCCAGCTTAGTGGACACGAATCGGGCAAGTATTTCACCCAGAGTCGTCGAGAGTGAAGTCGCACAGGTATCATCCGCTTGTTTTTCTGAAACGTACACAGATTGTGCTTTATAGTGAGAGACTTTCGAGGATCTTTCTCACCAGCCTGAGAGACTCTGTAGCAGAAAAGCGAATGTCGCCCGGCGATCTCCCTTCGACAACACAGCACCATCACTGCGTTGAAGAAAGTGATTTGAAAGAGGAACATGAAGAGAATCGCCATCGCGCAGTACGTACAGAAAACGCCTTGAATTAAAGTAGGTAGTTCTTTTGAAAGCAGAACAGTTTGCTATGAATGTGAAGTGCACTCACGAACAGCGTAGAAGTCCGAAACACTGCCGATCGAGAACGACAATCCATCTGTGAGCGATGTGAGGAACAATGACGCTGCGGTTTCCGTAAGCGCGTCTACGAACCTGAAATGACCTGATTTGCTGAAGTGAACCCCAGCTAACATACAACGAGCAAAGAAACTATGCTTAGATTACGATAAAACTTCATGAACTTCTCTTAAAGACGGAGCACGATTAGAAGGCAGTATACTAAAAGTTGGTGGTCTGCGGTGGCGGGACGAAGAGAAAACTGTAAGAAAGGCCCAGAACCTTAGAAATGGGACCGCTTCCTTGCCCCTTGATTATTGTACTGATATGATTCTCATCGTTGTGCCCTCTTCAACGCTAACACCCTCTCTACTAAACAGCTGGAATTTGCGGCGGTGATTAGCCAGTCGGTGAGCGTACTGCGCCGATACCGCCGAGGGAAGAGCCATGCTGGCCGTCGGGGGCATATCTTTTGCTGAACTGCGGGTCGGTTCGGACCCTTAGGAGGTGCGCCTGTTTTCCCATTAGGTAAGTCTTCCTGTCTTCAACCTTCGATCTTATCGTCAAATGCTCCTTTGGAAGAGTAGCTTACGATAGATGGGATATGGAAGAAGGGGCGGTACTGCGTACTGCGAAAGGACGGAGAACCCCCGCGAAAGTGAGGCACGCATTGCTGCGAAGGGTGCGCCGATCGCTGCGCAGCTAATCACAACCATGACCAAAGCTGCCTGCGGTAGTCCGGCCCATTTCCTCTACCGTGCGTTGCCCCTCGTTATGGAAGTGCATTCGATATTAAGCGGCTCCATCTTTTATTTTTCTATGTTATGCGCTATCAAAGAAAGAACGATATTTGTTGGCATGACACCAGCTACTGGGATTGGCTCGTGTGAACGTGCTTGCAATGGCCACAGTCTCGTCCAGAGCGGAGATAAGTGGAAAAGAAAAATTCCATCCCTAAGGTCTTGAGTTGTTCCCTCCTGATTTTTTAGCCAGTGCATCCTCTACCTCTACTTTCAGCTGCGGCTCTATGCAAGTAGGGTGGCACGCCCAGCTTTCCACACATGATGAGTGATTGCCTTCACCCCCCCCCCACCTTTAGATTGGCTACACTCCCCCCTGGCTCACGAATTTTCCTATTTTCGTGACAACATTGTAGCGGTCAGCAGTCCCAATTACATAAAGTTCTGTTCCAAAAATAATGCGGCGTGCCCACCCTACTTGTATAGCACCTCAGCTGCTGCTGCATTTCGGTTCCAGTTAAATCCGAAAGCGATTCAAAAATATTCGGCAGTGAAATTAAGATGATGACATTTCTATTGCTCAAACAACTATTTTTATATTACTGGGGAGTTTTTCGGCGAGTGCAATTGGTATGGAGTACACTGTACCATTAGAGAGTTGCATTAAAATAGCCTTTGAAAAACTACCTCAGTTCCATATCGGGCTCTTGAGTGAGCCGCCAGCTTTTCAGCATCAAGAACATGTTGTCCGTCCCGATGGCTAAAGCAAGTAATCGTCATGTTAGTTTTAGATTCCAGTAAGACCAGATCACTAACATACGACGAGGAATGGCATAATGAAGACCAGCGGCAGGAACGGGTAGCGCAGGTAGAGCAGTAGAGCCATAGCAGCCACTGTCGACATTGATGCGTTTAACATTGCGAAGAAGCCTATCCATGGCTGTGACCTAATGATTCAATCACTGCCAATTTCAGGCAACAGTAACATTCAGTTCTGGGCAATCAGTACCTAACAACATCTCTCGACGAGCAAGCGACCATGCAGAACACCAGTAAAAACGTCGCTGCCCACGGCATGAAGGGAATCAACAGCTGAAAGACTTAATCGCTGATGAGGAAGAGCGAGAGAGTCAAACACTTAGTGTCGCCAGGAGTCTTCTACGCCATGCTATTCTCCTCAGCCAAATGCGTGTGTCCTCTTACATAAGAGTATTTGGCAGTGCTGTTAGGATACTATAATACATGTTACATGAACCGAGTTCGTGGGAGCATCGTCAAAACTCCTGATTGGCGCTGACCTGGGTCTTTATGCAGTCGCCTGGTTGAGGAGGAGGACATGTGGACTCAGTGGAGTGTGTGGAGTTTAAAGCTCGTTCCCAAAGATTCCTGATGTCAGAACCCTTTACCGAAGACGACCCCACAGGGTAAAGGACATGGATGACCGGTATGGAACCCAACAAACCGCATGAATGGTAGCAGCTCATTCCACTATTCTACAACCAACCATAAAGTAGAGTATATAAGGCTGACCCTACTCTGCTTAGTTCTTCGTTTTTCTGGAACAGGCGTCGGCAGTGCTGTGCCTTGTCGTGAGGGTGTTCGAAGTCACTAATGTCCTTATCCTTCTTTGCTTTGAAGGTGGTTTTTTTGTTTTGGGGTTCTCGGCGCTCCACTCATCAGCTTTGCCGACACGATGGTGGGCCTTGGTTCTCCAGCGGTTTATTTCTGTCTTTATTGTTTCTATCCATAGTTCTGTTCTCGGTTCCTCAATGAGAGTCGCGGCTGTTCCTTCTTTGTTCAGTAATTCTTCCTTTGCCCTGTGCATTACGGGTCCATCAGTGCTATGTTCAGTGTGTACTGCTTGTTTTTTTGTTGCGTAGTCACTCCTGACACCCTGCGTTCGGTCTTCGGGGTGTTTCTGTTGTTTGCCATGGGTGCGCCTCGAGTGCCTAAGGAGAATTAAAAATAAATAAAATAAAATATGTGCTGTCGGCATACCGTGCTGTTGCGCTCCATTTCACTTGCCAAACTCTTTGAGGAGGTCCAGTAGAGCCTTGAGGATGAGTTGACACGATAGGTCGCCATGTGCTCCAAGAATGTGTCAATCCAACTAAACGAATGGACTACTGTATCTGAGCATCAAATGCCCTAAGAAGAAGCGAATCACTGCAAAAAGAACCTCTCCACATCAATCGATGGCTCTAACAGGTAGAAGATACGCAGTGCTTTTGCCGTCTCGATTGGTCCGTTACCGTGGTTGTCTTTCTTCTGTAATATGTAGGCAGTGAGAAGCACAGAGAAGAGCCAAACATGACCTTGGGAAAAAATTCGAAAGCGGGACAACTTTGTCACCCACCCTTTGCGACGGTCAATGCTGGGATAGTGACTCCTTGAACTTACTACCATCACTTGACACATAGGCACTTTGACTTTCCCGTAAAGTTCAGCACTTTGCAGCGACTCACCCTTCTATAAAAACGTCCCCCCCCCTCCTCTAGTCCGCCAAGCACGGCCCCCATCCAAAAAATTATAACTACAACTCTAAGTTAGAAATTTCCCAGTGAACGTTTGACCCTGGATATGAGTCGCGGTCACTCACCGATTCATTCACCACAACTCCGCCGAAGACTAAAGCGTTATCAATGAGAAGGTCGCCAATGGTCAGCATCGGATAACGCAGAAGAAACTGAGCAGAAAGAACCTGAAGAGAGAACAAAAACCATAAAAGCTATGATTAGAGAGAATCCCTTTGTCTCCAGTTCAAAACCCACTGGCTCGTCATCTTCCAAAGCGTAGGCAAGTGGATGCAGAGTGCAGCCGTCGGAAGAACGAAGGCAGACATCGGAGAATACCTTCCCTCCGTCACTTGTCTGAAAGCTGTGGGATTAATGTAAAAGAATTGAAAATATGAGGACGACATGTTGCAATGGCACCTTTCAAGCACCTAAACATGTGCAAGAGGATATTCTGCTCTCATCTCACTTGTGATTTTAGCGCTGCTCGACCTTTAGCTGGTGTAGTCAAGGTGCGCTGCCTTGCTGCGATGCTAGGGCGCAGACTTATAAAAACTAGGAAGCCACGTCGAGGCGGAGCAAATGGACAAGCGGAATACGTTGGGCTTAGGTCATTTCCACAGCACCTTCTTCCTCAAAGCTTCACGTTAGTCCGGTACGATGTTCAGTTTACAGTAAGCTTGCTTGCTCCGTGCGCTTCAAGGAATGGTCAATTGGTAGTCCGGCCATTCGTAATGAGGTGCACCCAATGCACGCGTGACTCTGGGCTCAAATGCGGTTTCGGTGTTAGCGGAACGATTTCCTCAAAGAAGTTACGAGAGATTTTTTTTTCGCTGTTGCCTACATTCTTCTAGAATCGCATAAGACGAGCCGGAAAGGAGATATGCCATCGAGCGGCCCTTTGATATATTGGCTGGCTGCTATGCTTCATATGGCAAAGTTTACTTCTTCAATTCTTCGAGCATGGTGGAATGTTGCTTTTTCCGGAATTCTCGTACGAGCCGAGGAAGAGTTCATATTTGGTTATTTCAATGATAATTATCCTAACCTGGTGGTTGGAGTGGTGTAGTGGCAAGTGGCACGCTTACCGCGCGAGCGGTCCGGGGATCAAATCCTTGGTCGTGAGTCACCCGGGCGAACCACTCCTTTCATCCCTCCGGGGTCGGTTGATTAGTACCAGACTGACGGAAGATAAAAAAAACTGACCTGAAGATTGGCTGGCCCCCGCAAGTCATTGTATAGGCCACACCGCATTCTAACGCCACTACGAATTTACAAATGGAAGTACTGCATCCCAAAAAAGGATTGATCAACGGCAAATGCTTCACCCTTTTTTATTTATCCTAACCTGACACCTGGTAGAGGCAGACGCTAGAATTTCCTTTTCGTGCTTCTTTTTGAACGTCCTTGATCATGACGAACTTTGACACACACAAGATTCATAGCTATACGAGAATTCAATAAAAAAAAATGCGCGAATGTGACAGACAATCCCTCACAGATTGATTGAAGCGTAATAGCTTTTCGCATCGAATAACGTAAGGTGAAGGCTTGAGTTAATAAGCTTATTTTTGTGTCATTTATACTTGTTCAGAATTTTCTTAATTGTCTTTAGTTCATCTTCATAAAAAAAACTTCCAAGAAAAAGCACGGAAAAAAAGGAGCTTCCAGATTTTGCCTCTTCAGGAGCTTCCAGATTTTGCCTCTTCAAAGTGTCAAGTAAGGACGCCATTCTGCAAAAAAATATCCGCATATTAACTGGCTTTCTGGGCTCGTAAGAAGCCCTGAAAAAATGCAAAAATTCATCATGTTCAAAGAAACAACATGTGACCCTCCGCATATAAAGCAAGACGAGCTAGCAGCTATCCATCACCAGGCTCTGGCAAAGGTCCTCTCCGCCTCCTCTTATGCGATGCGAGAGGGATGTAGAGCGGGCTACAGTTAGAAAAATCCCACGTAACTTCCTCCAAGGAACCGTTTCGCAGATGTCGGGAGCAGATTTAGTTCAGCGTTCCACGACGATGCATCGGACTACACCTCACCACGAATGGTCGGAATGACCAATCGATCTTTTCTCGTCGGCCAAATTCTTAAACCGGATGTCTTCATGTGTGAAGTAGCGCAGCAGTTACAGACGCTACATTACTTTGAGAAGACTATCAATCTTTTTCGATCTACCGGCGATAAATCTGTAGGGATAAAACATTGACATGAGCTTGTTTTTATTGGATAACTGCTGTTTCACGCCGCAGTTCGCAATAACATCGAATAAAGCTTTCAGCCTTGCGGTTGAATGCCGAAATCGGGATTCATCACGTTATACGTGTGAATGCTGATAAACTATGGTAACATCACCATCGAAGCTGAGTTGGGGTGAAATGGTGCCCCAGTGGTGTAACTAGTAGCACAATCGCCTTGAAAGCAAGAGATCCGGGTACGAATCTCGGCTGGGGCGGAAGCTTTACCCACAACTCAGCATTCTTGCTATTGACATGAGTATCCATTCCACAAGAAGGGATCGTGGATCAGACATGAATTCAATTCCACATCACTACGATTCTATGTGGAAGGCAAGCACGCGGTTCTGCAAAGGGCTGATCAATGCTGGCCATTATTCTTTTCACAAATGAGCTCCGACGCATGTGGAGGCTCAATAAGTGGGTTTCTCGTTAAAACTGGTACAGTTTGAAGTCTCATTAATCATGTGACCGGATACATCAAAAGTTCTTACTACATAAAGTTCATGCTAACAGTGAACTAAGTCAGAGTGCTTGAAAAAAAAGCGAGAGACGGGGCATGTCAACATGAACGTTCACGTTCATGTTGGCATGTTGGCGAACGTTCACGAGTGGAACTACAGTGCGTTGCAGAATCGACACCCCCGAAATATGAATATCTTGGCTTCTAGAAAAACCCGTCTCTCGCAACTGGTAGAATCAGAGTCGCCTCTATAAAAAACCTGTACAAACAAGTAGCCAGACCATCCGAATAGTTTTCCGTATTTTTAGACAATTTTTTCAGTTTTTTAGTCGTTGCAAAATCATAGGACACTCCTCGGAAGTCTGCCCTTCTTATACAGGGGAGGCCAGAAAAAAAAGGAACACTTCGCTCATGCCACATGTCACCAAGCTATAACTCGCCCAGGTTGTCGTGGTCAATGGAATTCTTTCGGCGGAATATTCCCAAAGTATTCCTCTATGCGCGGATGGAAGCCCCTGTCCCCTAGCTTCGTCTTCTTCAGAAAACGACGTCATCTATAATCGCCCTTAAGCTCAAGGAGACTTTCCGCAATTGCTTCAGCTTCAAGCTACTTGATTTTCCAATCGATTAAGTGATGGATGGATTCCTACAGACAGTAGCTCTGACTACGCCAGACCCCTGAAGACCAGCGTTTCAGATAATGTCACAATCGCTCATGATCCGTCGATGACCATGTCAAGCTTCAAGCGTGCACAAGTCCCCTATCAAATTCTTCTGATGTTTTTGGCGTTGAAGGCTGGTATGATTTTCAATGATAGAACGGAATGTGCTCTTCAATTTTCAGTTGGTAGTATTCGGTTTGAGGCCAGCAAAGTATGATTGACGCCGGTTTTTAACGTGAAGTGGAGTGTCTCCTTTTTTGACCACCCCTGTACATATACAGGGGGGGGCCAAAAAAAAAGACATTTTGCAATGTCGGACTTCGGCCCTTTTTTCTTCGCAGAAATTGCCGGCGTTGACAGGAGTTGCTCAGCAGAGTATTCCCTAAGTGTCCCTCTATAAGTGAACGCAGGCCCTCCTTCACTGCCCTCACCGTCTTCAGAATATGACGTCATCTGTCACCATCGTCAGGCTCAAGGAGGTCTATGTAAGTGCTTCAGCCTGAAGCTCTTACGCAGTTTCGTGAATCGATTTAATGTTGGATACTTTTCTAGAGGCGTTATCTCCCACTATACAAATTATACAAATCCTCTTGAAACGAGCTTTTCAGTAAAGGTCGTTATAGTACACGATCCTTCGAAGACCCCGTTGAGCTCGACCAGTGCACCATGTTTCCAGGGCAAATTCTTCTGTTGCCGTCCACGTGGGTGGCCAACATGAAGATTTTCTTATAGAATGAAATGTGCTGTTCAATATTAAGTTGGGAGCACTCGGTCTCAATTGAGCAAAATGTGCTTAAATCCATCTGAAAGTGGAGACAAAATGTCTTTTTTTTATTGCCCCCCCCCCTGTATACTGACCTTCAACGACATAATGGATCTATGAAGTGCTGCAACGCTTTTGATTGATTTCTCGCTAACAGCATTCCCTTCCACGTCTTCAAGCACGAACGAAGCGAATTTCGATCCGAAGATACTGTAGCTGTCCCGCTGCGCGTCTCGTGGTGGAAATAGTGTGATCAACTGGAACATTTGGTTATCTTTTCGGAGTAAGCACAGAAACGTAAACTCGTTTACGCTTGCCTCTTTGAGATCAGATATGCTCTGCATGTTGTCCGGGAGAAACACCTGTAAGGTCTCGTTGGAGATGTTCAACTGGAAGTCCATCGCAGTACCCAGCACTGTAGAGAAGACTCATTGACTAATCACACTCGAAAAGAAAATTAGCTAGTTTGAAAAAGGGTCACCTAGAGCGATTGTAAGGAACGGAGGTATCACGAGAAATGGCAAAGGCCATCGAACCACCACAGATGTCTGCCACTGAAAACAAATACAATAATTGAAAGCAGTAAACCAGTCACTGGAAAATGATCAATTCGTTCTCAAAATCGACTGTAGAGACGATTCCCATAAAAAGGAAGATGCAAGCGCCATTCAAAAACCTTTCCAGCTTCTTAGTGTGTTAAAACTTCTTCATGAATTTTCCATATCACTTTCAATACAGGTTCAGTGTTACCGTAACTTTGTCGCAAAAATTTTGAGGTAGTAGTTCGATTACAATGCCAATCTCTGTTTACAGGCGCATGAATGCACTAATCAATAAATAGACATAGTAATCAAAATATGTTTCATGAATCAAGGAACATGCTGTGACTTTTTCGGCCGTAGATTGGTGCGACTACGATACAACTCCGAATTAGTTGGAGCAATAGCTGCCCGCCGTTTTTTAGGAAAATAGACCTATGGGTTAAATAAAAACGACGGATAATTATTGTTCAACCTAATAGAATACGAACTCATCTCGTAAATATTCGGGAGGAGCGTTATAATACAATATAATGTATGTATATGTAAATAAATATAACGTTATAACATAATAATACCGTAGCATTTGTTTCGAGCGTGTAAATTCAGTCAAGTATTACCCAGAAAGCTGCGTATTTCGGTTCAAAATACTTCGTTCGCTCTAGAACAACGCCTTTGTCGTTTTTTTTCCAATTATTTGCACTTTAACGTCCCTTACCAGTCCTTATAGGGAGGAAGTAGTGTAGTAGCAAGTGGCACGCTTACCACGCGAGCGGTCCTGTGATCAAATCCTGGGTCGTGAGCGCGCAGGCCAACCACGCCTTCCATCCCCACGGCGTCGGTTAATTGGTAAAGACTTGTCTGCGAGGATAAAAACACTGACTTTTACATCGGTTGGCCCCCACAAGTCATTGTGTAGGTCATATCGCATTCAAACGCCACTACGAATTTACAAATGGAAGTAGAACATCTTGAGCGAATGAGATGGGCGTGACGAAAATGATGGCGTTGGCATTCCGATACCCAGTATCAGCAATTATCACTTGCCACCACTTTCTTTCGCTCGCCATTTGGGTTCCCGTCCCACCCCACACAATATTCATGAGTGCCAACAATTCAATTACCAACGCGACGGCGTAACGAAATTGACACCGACGCCTTTTCGTGGTTCCTTTCAGGAGTTATCACTTCTCACCACCCATCAGTGTTCACGTCCACCCACTATACAGGTGGGGCCAAAAAAAGAGACACTTCAATCCACATATCGGACTGTATTAATCACACTTTGCTAAACTCATACCGACTTCTCCCAACGTAGTATTCAATTAGTGATCCCAATCCAAAAACAACATGGTAGTAGCTCTCTGCACCATGGACATCACAAGAATTTACCATGGGGACCTTGCGCACAGTTCGAGCTTAGCTGGTCTTCGCCGAATCATAGACCATTACGACGTTATCTGAAAAGCTGGCCGAAAGGGGTCATACATTTTAGAGCTACTGTCTCTAGGAAGCAATACGGCAGTTAACCGATCAAAGAAAGTTCGTTGCAGCTTAAGGCTGGAACGATTACTTTAGACCTTTTGAGCTCAACAGTGATGGAAGATGACGTCATATTTTGAGGACGGTGAGGGCACTGGAAGAAAACCTGCTTCTGTCTATTGTTGGATATCTATGGGAAGTTTTGCCGCAAAACCTTAACCAACAGCGGTACCCTGCGCGATGAAAAGTTTGATGATGTGCGCCATGGGCAAAATGTCTTTTTTTTGGCCGCCTCTTTATATATAGGAGTTTGAGTGCTCTGGGCTAATGGGAACGAAGTTATGAGTTATGAGTCTTCATAATGGCCACCTACGTGGACGGCATCAGAAGAATTTGCCCTGGAAACATGGTGCGTTGGTGGAACTCAAAGGGGTCTTTGAAGGATCACGTACCATAACGACCTTTACTGAAAAGTGAGCTTCAAAGGGGTCCGCATAGTAAGAGCTAACCTCCCTAGGAAACTACCCAACATTGAATCGATTCAAACTACGGAAGAGTTTCAGGTTGAAGCAGTTTTGGTAGGCCTTCTTGAGCGTGACGACGATGACAGATGACGTCATACGGTTAGGGCAGTGAAAGAGTGACTGCGTCTGCATATAGAGGGACATTTAGAAAATACTTCGCTGAGTAAATCCGTCAACGACGGAACGACGGCAATCTCTATGAAGAAGAAAGGGCCAAAGTACAACATGGACAAAATGTCTTCCCCCCCCCCCCGTACAGTAGGATTCTTCGATGTTCATTAAGTGATCAATTCCGGAAGATGCTTCCACGGTATCAGAAAGAAGAAGTGTGATTAAGAGAGTGCAACGGAGTCTTATGAAGCTGTGAATATCCTGAAAGTGCATAATCGGAGGAAGATTTCAAATTGGTATAGATTTCGCTATTGCAGTACCATGGAGAGCCGTTAAGCACTTTCCCTGCCAACTGACCTCGAAAAACTGTGACACAACGGCTTGGAAGTTGTTCATGTGTAGTGGGAACAGAGATCTGAGAAGTTCAGATCGACTCAATCGCAGATCTGGACTCAATTACCGAGCGCTCCGAAGACTAGCAGACAATAGTTTGAGCAGAAAAGGTCATGGATCGCGGAGGCCGCCTGCGCCGAGACTCTCGGCCAATATCCTGGTTTCAGGGGAGCAAGACAGGTTATTTCATGCCTCTCTGTAAAAAGAAGATGCTGAAGGAGGTTACAAGGAAAATTTTGAAAGCAGTAGCACATTAAGTACTATTCACAGAACATAGTAAATGCTGGAGAAAGACTGACCTTCTAGCTGAAGTAAAAATGAACAAACACAATCGAATTGTTGTTCTTACAGATTGGCATTTGCATCGATATGGGTTGGACTTTGTTTGACCTCAGAGGCTGTGCAAAGGCGATATTGCTCTCGCACCACAACATATAACCTGGTTTTCGTGTAATTTTCACTTTTATTATTACTTTATTTTTTATTTTATTTGTTTTTCTTTATTTTTATTCTTTTTATTTCATTTATCCTATTAGTTCATTCATTTTAGTTTCATTTATAATTTGTGATCCTCTCATCACTGTTCGTTAAGAGCAAGAGTGCTGCGAAATTTGCCTATGGCTCAACACCTTGATTGTCACAAACAACAAGGTTCACAGTAGCTGGTCAGGAACTTGGTTAAAGCAACAGTCCAGGAACGAATTTGCGGGCCAAAAGCACCTATATGGAAGTTGTAGGTGAAAAGTGGTCGAACGTAAAGAGAAAAAGTGAAGAAAACGCCCAACTGGGGCTTAGACAGGGACATGCCCTGCCGTTCAGGGAGACGTGTGTTGGACGAGTTGTCCGAACCTGCCCGTAGTACATGCGCTTTAATTGCAACTGCTGGCAAATAGCTGCATGCTTGCAAATACATAACTACTTGCCAGCAATCGAAATGGAATCGACCTCATACAGCGCGGCGGTCCCGCAACGATCGCTAGTCAAGCGCGGACTCTGCACAGCGTATGTTGGACGACCCGCCTCTTTATGGGTGATCCGCCCCCTCCAAGAGGACTTCGACCCCTTCCAGCGCATTGTAGAGGTAGGTTTTGGAATTAAAGGCATTTCCTATAAACTTTAGTTGGGCTGGGGCATGTTTTGACCGCCTAATGACCAAGTAGTTGAAACCCTGCCTGGACTGTTGCTTTAAGGATAGTCAGAGGAGCTCCGATTTTTCTGCGCGTTAAGCTCAATTTTGAATTTGCTTTGATCGAGCCCTGTGACAGGAAAGGGTGGAAGCAAAGTGAAAACCGGTCGAGGATCCGTTGAAGACTCGTCAAGGATTACCGACTGCTTAGTCGCGCTCTCCCGCGCTGACCTTCACTCTCGCCGGGCCGGGTCTCAGGCAGGGTCAACCCTGCGTTGTTACAAGTAACAACGGAGGGGTCGTACTCAGTTGAGCTTGGAGGGGGGGGGTCGTACTCTCTCGGTGGCCGGCAGTGGGATTCTTGGTAATATCGGATAATAGCCAGTACGTTACGTTGCCTTAGAAAGAGGGGTGTAAAAATTGTATTGCAATTTAAGAACGTGAAGGATTTCAGTATATCAGTTGGAGCGATAATTTTTTCTGATTTCTCATAAGTTTTTATCAGGTAATATTGTCAATATTCCGGTCACTGGTTCAGTTTATTTCATCTCCTAATTTGGCAACCCTTCGGAGTACACGGATATTTTTAAATGCATGTCATTTTTTCGTGTTTGGAAGCAGCGATGAAAATCTGTCGTGAATTTTGCTAAAGTTTCATCTTTGACGACTTACGTAGAAATAAATATTGATGGTAAACACTGTCTCTACAGGAGTGTCACATACAAGGGGGTCGTATCAAATCACCCATGAGGGGGGGGGTCGTAAAAAATTCCCAAGGAGTAACAGCGATAGGGTTGACCCTGGTCTCAGGACATCTGTTAACCGCGATCCTTGGCGGTTCAGCGTTTTGTAGTGAAGTCTGGGAGCTCTCACAAGTGCACACTATCACAGCATCTCCTCTTTCTTTATCTTCTTCAAAAGGCTCAGTCCCAATAAGACACAAAGTGTGTGGCTTTCCAGCTATGCTCTCACCCTTTCGTTGGCAGAAGCCTTGTAACCGCCGGGCCGTCGGTGTTCTCCGGAAGGGCATTTTTCTCAACACCATTCTCACACAGATGACAGAAATTGTCGAGGATTTTCTCGACCGTTGTGTCCCCTAATCTTTCAAATTTGTGAGCAACATGATATATTAATGAAACGGATTCACGTGTTATCTATCTAAAACCATTGTAGCATTGCACTCTTGCAAATCACGACATGGTTCAAAACGTACTTTTCATTCAAATCTGGGTCGATCACAACAAAATCAAGAAACATTTATTTAACACATTTGAAAACAAAAATAACAATCTGACTGGTTCAAATGCACTAACAAAGTGCAATGAAAGAAAAACAACGAATAATAGTAATAATTTAGCTGATAAAAAGCAGTATATAGCGAGATATACCAACTAGAATTTATACGTCATGCGAGATGCGTCTCATCAGATTCCAAATTACAACCGTGAAGGCCCAGTCAGCGACGATCACGTCGAGAACGATCCCTATAAAGGAGGCTTATCAAGAACAAAATGCACGACTCCTCTTTCGTTTAATCTTCTAACGCAATTTAGAAGCTATAGATTGCGCTAGCCACCACACCAGAAGAAGTGTTGACAATCCGCGGTCACAGAGCAGCCAACCTGAGTAATTTCTAGCGCATATTGCGTGCTACATAATCAGAACTGAGTCCAGTGACCCCTACACTAATCAAAACAGAAAATTATATTGAACAAGTTTGCCACACCCAGGAACTCCATCCTTTCTTCTCTAATGCTCAATTCAAACCCGGCAGTAATCCAGTCAAGCTCATGATTTTGAACGTCAACGAGGAACTAGGGAGTTAAGTCAGCGAAAACCTCACTACGAGTTGTATGTCAACCAAAGGCGAGGGGAAGGCCTTCATACAAATGCTCAGCGATAAATAATCAACAATGAGTGTAATACTTAACCACGACTCACCGACTAGAATCGCGTTTTCGATCCCGGCTTCTGCTTCTCCGCCTCTCGCGATCCCGATCGCGATCACGATCACGAGTTCGATCGCCTTTCCGTGACTCTACGTCGCGAGTGTCACGACGTCGATCTCCCGTGCGATCTGCGTCTCTACTAGACTTTGAAAGCGCATATTCATCTTTACCATCCTTTCTTGCCTCCTTTTTAGATTTTTTCTTGTCTTTTTTCGACCGCTTTTTTACGATCGAAGCGAGATTGTCTTCCAAATCGTTCATCTCCTTCTCTCGGAGAGCTTTCACCTTTAAAAAATCGATTAGCAGGATCTTTAACAAAATAAACATCAAAAATCACCTTATTCGCTATATCTGGATCTCGCTTACTCTCTAACTCATCTTGGAGCGCCATCACTTTCACCTTAATCAGGCAAGTAAAGTCGATTTCAAGCGGAAAAATGTAAGCGATGAGAATAAGAAACAGCATAAAGAATAACTGAATTTACTTACCTCCACTTCTCTCATTAATTTGCGACGCTCCTCTTCAATAGCAGCGCTGGCAAGAATGTCCCTAAATCACCATAGTCAGAACTGTGATAGAGATATTCATCCAGCCACAGAAAGAAAAACCCATAAATGGCTTGCTAATCGGAATAAAAGCTAAGAGAATTGCCATGAAAATGTAAAACAGCTTGCTAAAATGAAGCGTACTCACTCCTTCTCCTCAATTTCTCCATCCGTATCGCTATCGTCGCTCTCCTTTGGACGAGCACTAGCTGGGTTTACCGAATTACCCTCAGACGCATCAGCACTCCAGTTTCTTTGTGTTGACGGGCTGGAACTCCTTTCCTTTAGTCGCCGGCTCAGAATCATCGTCTTCCCACTTGCTTTTACAGGTTCGACCGTACCAACCTGAACCACCTATAAGGTTACTACGGGCAAATTACACAAAAATCTTCCGTACCGTGCTCCAATTGTCGGCTTTGAACATCCCCAGTTGGTTTACGTGTTTCCCCACCCGGCCAGCATTACCGACTCGTTTTGTAGTCATCAAAAATTGGGCATCTACAAAGAAAAAGTGAGTGGGCAAGGAAAAACTGATTCGAGAAATAGGTTACGTTTCTTTCAGTCTCTTCAATTGGAACGCCATCGATATCACACGGGAGCACCATCCAGGATTTCTTCCTCTTCATCGTTTCTCTTCCCTCCTTCAAATAGGACAATAACTCCACAAAGGAAACGAAAAGGTCCATTTGAACAAAATCACAAGTTCATTACCATGAGACGAGAAAGATGTTTTGACTATTTACTAGAACATCAGTTGGATAGAGAACCGATTCCTCCCATGCTCTTAAAACGAAGGATTAATAAAAAAAAAAAAGGACAAAAAAAGACAAAAAGGGAAAAGTAAATTTTTAAAAGAGAAATCGCAACCAATGTGCGAAGGACAAAGTAATGAAAATGTAGTGAAACAAAGAAATCATGAAAAGAATGCCTAATATCCAAAAATAGCAGCTAACATTAGTGTGAAGCTAGTTTTTTTTCTGTCACACTAAGGTAACCTATTACGGTTACCTTAGTGGGACAGCTCATTCCACGCAATTTTGGGTAAAGTAACCCACGCAGCAGTTTCAAGTAGAGCTACGGATTAGCCACATATGCAGAAAGATATATATCACAAGGGATAGAGTTTAGCAGTGTACATGACTGCATTTTCACGACAAATGAACATACCGGAAGCAAGACATGACGCGCTGTTTGAACTGCTCCGCTTTGAGCCGAGCATTCACGGTTCTCAACGTGCGTCCCAATGCAGCGAAAATCTGTGAGGAAATCATTCAATGCGAAAAAAACATCGAAACAAAATTAAAATATCGTGCAAGTTCAGTAAAGTACCTTAGTTAGGAGCTCGCCGAAATATTGCCGGAAATAGAAAACGTCCCTAACTCCGCGAGAAGCTGCGTTCGCTAGCAAATCCGAGATTAGATAAAGTCTAAAAAAGTGGTATCATAGCGGTAAAACGTCAATGATTATCATTATTGTAGTTTTATTCATTTTTTTCAAATCACCTCGCTATCTTTTTGTGCAACGGAGTTTCGTCAATCGTAAGGGACTCGTAAATACATTCACATATTTCTCGAGCACAAGTGGCATGATCCGCGCACCACACCATGGCGTCACCAATCTAAAATAAAAACAATTCAGGTCAATTATTCAAAAGCGCTGCAATTTACAATGGAAAAATAGGAATTAGTCACTACATACGCTATCACACTCAGGCGTGAGCTCCCTGAGAATTTGCTCCAGTTTTTTCCTCTGACTTTTCCGTAATCGGGCCTTTGGTTTTCTAGAATGGTCTTGCCTCGGGCTGCCTCTGGATTTTTCACGTCTTTCTCTTGTGTCCTGCGATCGAGTATTTCGTGCCTAAATTATTAGAGCGTGTGAGCATCCGATTTTCTCATTCTCATTTTATAATAAATATATTTTATTATAAATCCGAGAACCGCAGAGAAAATGTGTTCGAATTGGATACGATAGGGTGTAGTCTTGCCGCGAATGGCGGAGAGTACGGAAAATGCAGCGGTGAGCCAATTACAGTGTGATAAAAGTTTGAATGTGAGAGATCACAGTGATAATCAGCCGCTGATAAGGCGAGAGAGCGCAAACAAAAACATCGGATTGGGGCGGTCAAAGCAGGATTCAAGTGATCGTCGGCCAGGATGTAAGCTTAAGAAATAGAACGTGGCATTTCCATCCTTTCATAACTAAATCCTCGTACAGCTGCCCAGAAGCCGATCCACTTAGAGAGATAGACAGATTATTAAATAGTACAAACAAGCTTTGAATGAAATAATTACGTGCAAAAAAGCAGTTGGACGAGGAAAAAAAGACACGGTAGTAAGGGAATTCAGAACCAAGCCTACTGAATAATTAAACGAAGAGTAAAGAAAAAGGAAAACTAACAGCCAGAGGAGCATCCAGTTTAGGAAGCCAGCGACTCGGGTCAGTGATCGTGCACGCATAACTGTAGAGAGAGCGAGGCATGCAACTAAAAAGTTCCGCTTGCGGAATTGGCGGCTGCCACCAAGATCCGCCTTCGAACATTCTGGAAAAGTGCCAATGTGATTTCAATACAAGCTCAAGTTTGCAAAAGCTTCAATTCACACCTGAATTTTTCTCGACGCCATTGCAGAAAAGTGTCACCCTGGGAAATTGAGTACAGTCTCCAACGATAATACACGTGCGTGGGGTGATTCAGCTCGAAAAGAAACCTGGAAATTAAGCAACATCAGGACACATAGGCGGATAGCCCTGATTTGCATACGCGCTTTCTCTGGTAGTATATATTCCGTCAAAGTGAAGGCTTAGGCGAGTTTAAACAGGTTGTTCGATAAAAAGTGCAACAAAAGTTGAGCTACCGACTACCGATTTCGAACTGCCAGAAAGCCTTGTCGTTTTTCTTCTCGAATTTAGTGTTTGTTTTTGGCCACTAAGAGCAAGCGGTTTTTTCAGGGAATTCTTCCACCAATACGACATGCTTTTACAACATATTATATATCATTTTCAGATTTCTGCCGCTCCGCTATCACCACCCCACGAATGAGACGTCAAGAAGAAAGCTCCTAATATTTTAAACAGCTAAAATGCTGAAATGCCACGCATAATTTTGGATAGCAAAAGAGGAAAAAACGAATTACTCTTCAACGCAAACCTGAACAACGGATTGTTCCGCTCTCGCGTCATCAACATTGCCTCGAAGAGTGGCCCTTCCCGTATCGTGAATTCCACCACATGTTGAATGACAAGCAGGAGGTGGCTAAAGGACCACAACAAATGCTTTCACATAGTTTCGTCCACAGTGCTAATATATGTCAAGACTGTTGATGTATGCTAATAACGCCTATCTCAACAGTAGAACCCTAGTTTGATAAGTAAGAAGAACGAAATAGTTAACACCAAAAAGTTTCGTTTGAATGAATAATATGGAAAGAGACGCTAATGGTCGATGTAAGGTGGCATAATGTTCTGGATCTTGAAAGATGATATAGGGTTCGACTAGTGAGATTTTGCTTCAGATTATAAAGATTCACATCACTCTTTCTGCAACCAGTTTTCATTCTAATTTTTCGCGTTCGTTATCTACGAAGAACTCCTACCACACCAATTCAAAAAGTCTTAATCGTTCTTCTGAGAAACTACACTATAACACGCAACACTCTCTGCCAATTCCCACACCAGCACTTTCAATGTCCCAATTTGAGTATCCACTGTATGCAACGCGATAGTACCCAATCCAAATTATTCGATTAAAGATGAGCTTCCAACCACGTTGCAAATTTCCTCTTCTTTCGAGATGCACATCTCCTACTACCCTTTAGTGTCGCGCTTTTCATTTGTCCCTTATCATCTAGTGCAATGCAATTGGAGAGTGCCGCGCCGCTTTTAAAATTATATCATGCGAAAAAAACCAAGTCGATAAGTCGTAAACAGGTCTATTCATACCACTTGCTGGATTAGCGTACGACTTCCAAAATGTTAAAAAAAAAGAAAAAAATGGGAAAATTACTATAATGAAACAAATGAAAACTTTTGAATTAAAGAGTTCAGGTGCAAAGAATATATGAAGCTTTTAGAGTAATACGAAAATATCATGGAGAAAACAAGATCAAAAGACTTCAGCTCATAGATAGCGATACTCCAGTATGACATCTGCTGATCGCCTACCATATGCCGCACGGATGATGGTGCTTACCTGTCTGACGGAATCACTACACGAACTGTCGCGTTCTTGATCATCTGTAGCAGATTAAATTCAAATTTCTTTCAAAACTGGCTCGATAAACATATTCACAAAACAGCTAGCTGGTTGGGCAAAAGGAGAAGATGGAACAAGAAAGAAGTTTTTGGTAATATTTTGCAAAGGAGAATCAGGGTGCGCAACAAATATTTGTGCGAAGGAGCAAATTACCTGATTGTAGGCGTCCAGTTGTTCGCCCTCAAAAGTAATTGGCTCTCCATATCGAGGCAGAGGACCGTACTTTTCCTTATAAGCAGTAATCTATAAAGTTGCCAAAATTGAAATGAAGAAAGGTGCATCTAATTCCGAAAAACCCGAAATGAAAATACTCGAGACTGTAGATATAGACCAATTACCATGGATCAATACATATAGAGAACAGATTTTCACAGAATTCAATGCTTATAAAACTATATCTGTGTTTTGACTGCAAAAAAATTCTTACTCACATCTCGAAGCAAAGGCTTGGCGTTGAATGGCAGCTCAGTGATAGGATCGGGCGCACTCAACTCCAAAAGAGGTGGAGGAACATAGAACGGCTGTAACAATGATATAACAAAAGCTTGCTTAAGAAAAAACTTTGAAATCATGAGAAGGTTGGACGCAGTAACGGCGATTCAAAAGGAAAATTAGTAGAAGAGACTACCTGAGGGGGAATTACCTGTGAAGGTATTACAATAGGTTTAGCAAAAGACATTCTTATGGGTTCTCCTCGGATAAAGAATCCCATCATTTGAGCAAGAGCGCGGTCTACATCTTCTCTCGACCTAGAAGAGAATAAAACAATACCGCTGAAAAAAACTGCAAGACACCCTCACACATCAAACAATGAACCCACATGAATGCACAGAATCCGCAAAGGTGATCACGCCGTTTTTCTTCCTCTGTACGAGGGAAGAGTATTTTGGCCGACGCCAGTGGCCCAAAAGATCCAAAAGAATCAAACAGGTCCTCCATCGTCATCTATAAAGTAAACGTAGGAACCTTTGAGCACAACCTATATCACTGATAAACCTACGTCCAATGGGAGGTTGCTAATGTATAAATTAGTTGTATACGGATCATCATCGTATTCTCCGCTCCCCATGTAAGGTTTGTCAAGAGCAGGGGCGATCCTGTTGTGATAATACAATTGAGGAAATAAGAGATCACAAATAGCGAAAGTAGAAAACTGACTTGTCCAGAGCTTCCGTGTCGACGCCAAGCTCTGCTCTTAAATGGTCTCGCAGTCCTTTACGCTGATCTCTTTCTTGTTGAACTCTAGAAAAGAAAAGAATTGACTCGAGGTTTCGTTATCCTTTATAGCTTCTGCTTAAGACTCAGTCGTGATGACCTGCTATCTAAAGTAAGAGATTTCCTGCTGCTTTCGAGTCAGTTCTGTCAGTTCTCCCAACGTAAACTAACCACCGCTTAAGATATTAGGGACTAGCCTAAAAGTGCATAAACGGAAAGGTAAACCCCGAGGCGAAGAGGCACATCTCAAACTTTCGCCGTGCCTACCCACCTTTCTAGGAGTGTCGGGGAATAAGCAAGGAGGAATATTTAGTATTTCAGGTGGTTCCAAGATTAGATGTATCGGAGAACGAGAAAGCACTGTTGGAAAGGGTCTCGTATGTATTAGCTGGTTCAATTCCGTCCATATAACGTTTTAGATAGCCCAGAAGATTCTCCGACCTTTCCATATATGCACTGTTTCCTTTTCTCATGTCCTCATAACCCAAGTTTGTCAATCACCTAAACCGTTGTCTATGAACACGTTCATAAAGATGATGGTTATCCGGGAAAATTTCCACTGCTGCATCCAGCTTTCCATGCCCAAGGCATCGAAGGAAAACGCAAGCAAGGAATAACTTACTTTTTCAATTCTTCCTTGAATGCCTCTAAATTGCTTGTTTTGCTTTTCTGAACAGCTCTAGCTGCACCAGGCCGTGGAGGTCGCGAAACAGGTCGGGTTGCACTGGATGGAATGACTTGCGGAGGCGGACCCTTACCCTTGTGTGCTTCTTCGAGCATGCGACGAGCCTTAAAATAAATGCTAAATGATAACGAATGAGAATATGAAATAAATGAGTTTACTTTCTCAGCTGCTAGTCTTTTCGACTCCTCAAAAGAACTTCCGCTGACCGGAAGAGAGCGGTGGATTGGCACTATGGGTTCCGGTTTATAAAGTTGCTTTGCGCTGCTCACTGTGAAGGAAAATGTTTAACACAGAACAGGAGAGAACACAAAAAATGAAAAGAAATAGCAAATTCAACCAACCTGTTTTGTTAGCATTCACCACTTCTGATCGAATAAAAGCTTTTGGTCCACGATCTATAGCACTTCCCATATTACCGAATTCATCTTCAAACTTTCGTAACGCCTTTTGGAGCTCTTCGTGCTCATCGTCCGCCTAAAGTGAACTTTTTCACATTAAGGAACAGACGTCATAAGATTCCCCTTTGTCACGTAGACTACTCGGAATTGAAATTTAACTAGGGGACTCTTTCGGCATAATGACTGTGAAAAAGACTAAAAGTCAACAACAAAAATGACAAAGATGGAAAATTGTGAAATACAAACCTTTCGCTTCCGTCCTGTACGATCCATTTCTTGACAATGTCACTGAAAAGGAGCTAGTAAAAACATCGAGGAAAAAGTAGAAAATGCGAGGAAAACTGCGACAACCGGCACGTAGAAGCTTCTTCCTAACCCTAATAACGAAAAGGTTTGTGAGGAATCTAATAGCATGCCACACTGATACCATCCTGTTAGTGCTTTGGCAGGAAAGTAGTGCAGTGACCAGAATTCTCTAGTACATTAAATAGGAAATTCCGATTTGAAAAATCAGAGTCCCAGTAACATCAGTGAATCCAACCACAATGATTCGTATTACAGTCAGGTTTTTACGAACATATACAACCGCTATCATTGGGTGCTCTTACAAATTAGAACATGGACGAGGGTGCTATTGCAGAGACAGTGGAGTGAGCTATGGCAACTATTAGGGTGGTACAACATTTGCTACCAAAATTAGCGCAATGTGGCTCGAGGAGGGGGGGGGGGGCAGTCGCTGCGCGCGGCTCAGCGATGTAGCGTAACTCGAACATTCCAGCTTCTCACGGAACACTCCAGATTCATCACGCATGCTAAGTGACTGCCCTAACCCCCCCCCCACCCCCTGAATTGGCTACATTTCCCTGGCTCACCGGATTTCCTGTGCCGCAACGCGCGCGCGGCGGCTGCCCCCCCCCCCCTCCTGAGCCACATTGCGCTCCAAAATTTGATGTTTAAAGTATTAGAACAACAACAGCCAATCACGTGGATTATGCTCCACAGAGGGTGGAATCAACTTGCCGTGAGTGTGAAAAAGGTAAGTATCGATCGCGCGAAATTGCGAAGCAAATTCCATGGATCTCACGGTTGGTACGCATCTGTCCCACACTCGGACTGCATTCCGGACAGTACGTAAGACTCGACCTAACATTAATGTCTTCCGCATGAGGGAATAATGGATGTCTTTCCTCCGGAAAAAGAAGGACTAGACCTTGAGGAACAAGATGAGCGCCCTTTCACAGTTGTCTCAAACTTTTACGTTTTGGCAGCGCAAATTGCGTAGAAGGTATAAGAATAGATTGTAGCTCGAAAAAGCGAGGTATGTATGTAGTGTAGGGAGGTAAAGGAGGACATTCAAGCCGTACGTCACTATGTCGAGCATTCTCGCCCCTGCATGAGGCTCTGGTACTGTATTCTGGGACTGCATATTGCCCTACTGTCCACATATGTTTGTCAATGTTTCGTCAGCCTTCGCAGCTGATTAAAATAGACGTTGTCCTTCATTATCCTCCCTTCTTCTAGTGAAATCTAGTACTCTCCACCGCGAACAATCGACCAAATGCACACAGCTCTCTACCCGTGACTGCCGAAATTCGCGACGTCTTTCACCTTGCCTGCTCTGCCTACTTATGAGTGAAGAGAGAAAATGACGTCTTATCCTTGCAATCCATATCACATTGGATCGATAATGGAGCATCCATCGGCCAGTTTTGAATCCTTTTGATTGGCTGACACTGCACTAGATTTTGATCCAATCCATTTCCATCTGCTCTCGCTATCTGTCCAAATCTAACTTCATCAGGTGCTCCCTCCCTTCGAGATCTTCGACAGAATACTCATCCTTTCCCAGCCAATAGCGAACAATATTGCAACGGAAGCGTTCTCCTTATTAACTTCCTGCAGGCGGAGGGGGATACGATTCATTGCGGCTCGCAGCAGCAAAGGATATGAACAACAAACGAACAGCTAACGTTCTTACAGAGCTTTTTTTTCGTTATCTAGTGATCGTTCAGGTTTCTCGAATAAATGTTTATAGAAGAACGGGAACATTCACAATCGTAGATGCCCTAAAACTTATATACCTTTCCGAAGCAAGGGAATGGTGCTACATCACATACAAGGGTGAGACAAAAAATAAATTGTTTTCATTACCAGCTTATTTCGTCGATAGAGAGTGGAGGCGATAAGTGCGTGACTAATAAGCAATTTGTGACTATAACTTACCATATCTCAACCTTTGCCGCACGATGGAGTGCCCATCCCTCCCCTTAACTTGTCACACTCCCTTGCTAACGGATTAAGGTACGTGTTGTGAGGCAGAAACTGGAGAGTGTGAAGCCTAAGGTCGGTCGTGATAGTACTCTACGATTTAAGAGAATGGAGATTATCAGATGAGGGGAATCATCTGGAACATTAGAGATTCGTCATGATTAGGAGACATGAGATTAGAAGATTAAGCATCTTCAGCCAAATCGATCCGTATCTGACCTCTTCAGCGGAATTTCCTAATCTCCCAAGCAATACAATATTTTATCGATTGCCTATTTTTCCATTCTCCCAAGTATAAAGACCAGGATATATGAATATGAAAACGGAAGCTGTTGGCATCATTCATTTTATAAGGTTGGCAATCGTCTCCTTAGGCGATTGACACTCAAGTTTTGAAAACCGCTAGTAGAGAACACAAGGATTAAGCCTAGGAGAGAGGAGGAACTCCAAGAAATAAAATCGTTCACATCCTCCCCTAGAATCCCATCCCCTCCCTGAGCTCACAAGGGAGCTTTCAGGGTGTGCCAAGCCTTTTCAAAACGGTCTTTTGCATAATATAGGGGCACATGCGGGAACCACAGAAACATGGTTAACTTTTCCTGAACGACCATCTGAATGATGGAAAAGGGGGTCCCTAGTCACACCTTTTTCATCGGTTTCTCAATCAAAGTCTATTTGTAAGGGTTACTGATGTTCCTCATCATGAATATGGTACTAATTGTTCATGCCAACTCCATTTTGCGCGGATTTTGAAACGTCAACTCGAAATGCAAGAATTTGTCACCACGAAAAATCGAACTAGGGACCCCATTTCTGGTATTCAGAGGGTCGTTCAGGAAAAATGAACCATGCTTCTGTGGTCCGCATATGTGACAAGACAGATAACAAAGGCCGCGGATTCACTGCTACCGTAACCTGCGTTAGCATTGGTGCGCGCTGTAGCAAGCATTGGCGCGCCCTATAAGCGACACAAGCATCAGCGCGGGAGCAGTGGTCAACCATTAAGTGAGAGGGCTAAGCCTTATGAAGGAGGTAAGAAAGGAGAGATGCTGTATTGGTGTGCATATGCGAGTGTGCCCACAGAACACCATAAAAACCTAAACCACCAGGCCCTGCGGTTGATAGTTGATTACGAGTATTCGCTTATGCCGCTGGCGCCATTTGTCGCCATTTGTGGCCACCTTGTCACGACGGCTGTTTTCACTAAATTCGGCGTAAACATTACATTCGCTTACATTACATTAACATTACATTACATTCGTACATTCGCTTTTAGAACTGGCGCTGACTAAAGCATACTTTCTGCTGTCCTGGACTCTCACTTAGGTCCAGTGCCTCTTGATGGGAAGGGGAACACCGCGTTGGGTGAGTTGCGCAACGTGTAGTAAGAGATGAAATGTGTGAGATCACAAGGTGAGTGGCTCACCTTGCTCACCTCTGAGCCTCCTCTCGCCAAATGCTTAGTCCTGATAGCGATCAAACCAGCGAGAGGGCGCAAGCGACAGGAAAACAAGTACCAAATGGCGCCAACGTCAAAAATGAATATCGTATTCGTAATCAGGGCATCGAATTACCACTATGAACAAACTTCCGACGAAAAATAAAATTTTGAGATTTGGGGCAGTGGAATGGTACCGAAAATTGCCTCGTTTTTCAATCACTGGGCGGATCCGACTAGTCGTGGATAAATTTGCTAATGGGTTACTTTCGCTAAGTTTCAACGTCGAGTGCGTAACCAATAATCATGATGATCTAACGACAAGTAGCAATTAACAACCAAATTATGAGAACTACGAAAAGTAATAATTTGAGTGCTCTTTTCCAAGTTTTTCCTTGACTGGCTTGCCTGTGGGGCCGGTGGGGCTGCTAGGGTATGAACCGCTCTTCTTTAATACCCTCTCAGGACTGCCTACTCTGCTCTATTTTGTGCTCCTTTGTCTACTCTTTATTCCACCGCTTTGTGACTTTCCCAATCTTTTGCTCTTCGTGCTAACCTTGCGTCGCAAAAAGCGCGCCAATGCTTGCTGCAGCGCGCACCAATGCTGACACGGATTACGGTAACAGTGAATCCGCGGCCTTTGTTATCCGTCTTGTGCATATATGTGCCCCAATGTCATGCAAGAAACCATTTTGAAGAAGCCTGGCACACCCTGAACGATCTCCGTTGTTCGTCTCAAGTGTTACACCTGGCTCACTAACTTGAATGTCCGCCCCCACCAGCGATATGAGCATCACAAGATTTCTAGCATGATGAGTGTCTACCTGAATCGCTCATATACTGCAGAACGTGAGTATCTAACTTGTGAGGGGTAGCGTAGTTAAATTCACGCATAGAAATGAAAAAAACAATGCGATGCACAATACCACTGAAAACATTCGACAATTGTCAAAGCTTATCTACTTTAACGAGAACGATTTCCACCAGACTATCATGCACACCTTCTCTCTGTATTATCACAAAAGCAACGGCGGGAATCAAAGACCGCTGACGAGTATGAGAAGGAACGTGAATGGAAATTTTCCACATACAAAAAAAAACGAACACGCTATGTACGCTCTCAAACATGAATGAACACGAAACCAAGTACCCAGATAACGATGCTGGAAATGAATCAATGACTGCAAAACGCAGTCGTGCGGACAACGCAATTTGGCGGTGGGGCGCCGTTGTTGTGAATCGAGTACCACACGTCTCTGGACTTCTGTCATCCGTGAGGCTTGGCGGTTCAGCGTTTTGTAGTGATGTCTGGGAGCTCTCACAAGTACATATATCACAGTATCTCTTCTTCCTTTACCTTCTTCAAAAGGCTTACTTGTTGGTCCCAATAAGACACAGAGTGTGTGCTTTTCCAGCTACGGCCGATGTCAGACTTTGCGAATCGCGCGATTCGCAAAGTCTGACATCGGCCTACGCCCTCACCCTTTGGTTGACAGAGGCCTTGTAACCGTACCACACAGTAATTGGTTGTCTACGCTTGGAAGGTTTACTAGAAAACCGATTTTTGATAACAATCAACTGCGACATCTAGGTGCTAAGTGGGTTGTGAGAGACCACGCGAGGGCGCGGCACTCTGCTCGCCTGGCATTTTTGCGTACTTCGGGAAACTGTGAGCCAGTGAGAGCGTGGGCAGTCTGGGGGTGGAGGGAGGGGAGGGAGGGCAGTCACTTGGCATGCGCGAAAAGCTGGAATGTTCAAGTTGACACTAACTCGCTCGAGAGAGCGCAAGGCATGCAGAGTGCCGCGCCGCCGAGTGCCCCCCCCCCTTACCACTTAGCACATCTATTTAGTAAAGCACCGTACTTTGGCTCCCAGTGGAAACCACTATTTCTTTTGACTAGACTCAGACTGTATACCAACATCAAAACATGTGAGAACTGTTGGTGTCGTCGTGTAGAGGATCATTGAGAGCCAGCACGCTAAAGCTCCCTACCCTAGTCCCCCCTCAGGACAGCCTTAGGGAGCGACTTGAAGAGGTGTTCGTGCAATTTTTATTTTCTTTAAAGTTACTCCCATATTAGTGCAGAGAAGCTAATGAAGGCATAGCACCTCACTTCGATTATCACACCGAAATGTTAGTAGTATGTAAGTCGTGGCACAGGTTAAATCAAGCTCGTTACCATAAAATGGGTGAGGGCGCTACTCTCCTAGAATTAGGGGCGGGGAGGGCATTTTGGTGCAGAGCACGCAAAGCAATCCAAGTGACAAGCACTTTTGCCCGTACCCAAGGGAGCAAGGAGCTCCCGTGGAAGTGAGGGAGAGGCAGAGGCAATTGGTCGTTGAAGGGTTTGATTCAGAATCACTAAAGAAGCCTTTGATGTTACGAATTGCTAGTGCTTAATTCCTGAGCTATTTTCCAAAATTCTTCTATGTTTTACGGGATGTGTGGTAAGAAGTAGCAATGGAAACAGGTAAATCAACTTGTCATCCCTATACTGAGCTTAGGAGGAGGACGAACTGCGGGGAAAATGATGATTGGTCACCCATACCAAATTCTCTTCTCCTAGGGCTAGATCCTGAACTGGGCATTAGTAATTCTCCCCGTTCACTGGAAGAGCGTCTGATTATCCTTCCATTATGAAAATATGTTGAAAGAGATTCAGGGATTGTAAGACACCTGGTTAATGATTTGATGAACTAGCAGGCTCTCTTCGATTGAGACGAGGCGCAGACGAGTGCCTTCTCCAAAGAGAGTTTGGCGCAATCGCAAGTTAGGGGGGCATCATCTAGGACTGCTCCATGATGAGGCAAAAAATTCGGGAAAATGAACATTACTCAGGTACCCGGGATCTCTGCTTGCCGCTTGAGACTTTGTCCCGTTTCAACAAAAAGAAGATATTTCACGCAGTTCCAAATGCATTGCTTCCATAATGACCCCGTATCTTGCGATAACGCCGATGGTTTTATAAAACGTAATAGGATTGGCAGGAATGAACAGATACCGACCGGCTCGGGTCGGGACGATGCTGGCGGCTGACGCGCTCCGATGCCAGCCACTAACGAAACCATTGATGAAGCAACACGTCCGCACGAGAAATTACACATTGGCACAAGAGGGCTGAAGCATCGTCCAAACCGGGGCACATCCTACTCACGACCATTGTTTCACGTCACCTTCACAATGATAGCTGGTGAGTCTTGCCAATTCTTTTTTGTCTTTGGTGTTTAAACTATGCCGTATCCCTTAATCGACCGATTATAATCACAAGAGCGCCCCGATTGCCCTTTTTTCACACAGGGTCGTGTTTGCGTACATGGTCATGGTACATAAGTCTGATAATAATTCTTGCCCGTCCGGGTTGTTGTGCACACGTCAGTTTCGCGTTATTTAGTGAAAAGCATGGGCAATACTCGGACTACTTGATCTCAGTCCTTTAAACCCTCTGCGCTCTCTCGCGTGTCCCTCTTTTCTCCAAGGCAGTCCTAGGGTTGCATCCGTTCCCTGATCGTCTGTGCTCTAGCCATTCGCGGCAGGACCATTGAGGAAAAATCAAGTAGTCCGTAAACCTTTTATTGACGTTTAGGAAGCTCTTCTGGACGATTAATGTAGTAGAGTGTTAGCTATCGCGAGAGAAGGAACTGTAGGTCTCCCATTCATATAGTGAGGTCACAAACAAGTAAGCAAATACCTGTTAAGTACCATGATTTACGACGAAAATGCGCTAAGCGCATAGTAAACCAGCTCATGAAAATTGAAAAATTTTATTCGGCTTCACTGGATTCCCGAATGAAATGCGTTGAAAAATAGTCCAACATCGAGCCTTTCCGACTGACGCGAAAATGAATTCCCGGTTCACTTCACCCTATGAAATGGCAGGCAGTAGTGGTATTGTATGGGAATCGCACTCAGAAATGTTCACATCAGAGAGGAGGCGCCCTACCAGGAGCCGTATGCATCCAAATTTGGTGACGAGTACCCGAAGTTGAGGATTCCAGGGGCACATTCTCATCTCGAAGTGCAGGGTCACCGACAATTAAGGTCCTTCGAAGGCAGCAGTTATGATAGGTTTGAGAAGGGTTAGAGGAGACGTGGTGGTTCTCAATGGCGTGGCGAAAAAGTGAAGAAATCCGTCAAGGTAACGCAAAGTGGAACCCATTTTCTGGTCGTAGGTTTTCACCCTTAAACAGGTAACAACTCAGAAAGCGGATGTGTGAACATGTTCATAACAACGAGTTTGCCAAACCACGCTCCAGTCGAGTTGCCCCAGTTGTGCCGCTGGCAACGCAGCTCGCCCAGATCACCAAGTAATAAGTGGGCGGGTAGCTTTTAGGGGTGGAGTGCTTTCAAAGTCCTACAGCAACCAGCGCACCTTTCGTCGTGGAAGCGCTACATTTCGCTTTCCTGGCAGCCAAGTAACTGATTCGTGTGGTGTATATGCTTCCCCGATGCACTTTCTCTTGATCGTAATTGCTGCCTTTGAACCACCTCAATGTGATGCTCTCGCTTGCACTCTCTCGCTTAAAGGAGCTTATGGCTACTTTGATCTGACACATTCAAACTTTGGCCACACTATGATCGGCTTACCCATTTCATAGCCCTTCTCCATCAAAGGCTTAGTCCTGGGACTCTTACCTCCCTTCTTTGGGTTTGGAGCAGGGTCAGCCGTCCGTTGGACAAAGTCCAACGCGACGACGAGAGTAATGCCGAGAGTGAACGTACGCACGGAGACACAGACGGCTCGCGGGTGGCGAGAGTGAATGCCGGCGCCCATAGCGGTCAACATCGGTCCAACGTCGCTCCAATATCGGTCCAACGTAACGGTTGACCCTGGTTTGGAGCCGAGCCAGGCGCTGTGTTGACTTGACTCCAAATCCGAATGTCAGTGCTTTTACCAATCGTGGCAGAGACAGAGAACATGGAGGAACATTCAAGCAGCCACGTAAGTGCAGCAAGAGAGCGAAGGTCGCGCTTCAGGATCTTTCATTTTTCACGGGTTTTACAGCGCGATCTCTTGGTATGGTCAAGTGCCGTCGACCTACTGTGTTTCTGCCGTCGCGGTTGAATCCTCTTGTCAAGGTTTACGGTTTAGGTTTTGAACTTCCCTCAGTGCCCTATCAAAAGTGGTGCAGTTAAGGATTTCTGCAGAAATAACGGAGAAAATTTTCGAGATGCAAGTTTTACGTTTCTGAAAGTCCTAACTTTTTTCAAATGCACTGGCCAAGAACGTTAATATAGCGTTGCAAATTTGAGAACTTACTTTATTAAGTAGTCATCGAAATGACTCAAAACTTTCAGTATGTCAAAAATGGTTCCGAAGATTTTTGTGCGAGTATCGCCGAGAGATTATTTCCTCTAAGTTGTAAATCTTCCAACGCTCATTACTCCTTTCATGAAAGACTTTGTACAAACTTGAAAACAGACTCCACGATAAGGTCAAAAGTCAAAGAGGGGAAACTTACCTACCTGAAAGACAGGCGGATCTAGGATGGCCCTAAACCGCGGCGCTATTGGCACGGCACGCCCACCGACTGGCTCACCACTCGCCGCGGTTCTCTGGACGTTTATGAGAGAACGTTGACGTTGAGAAGGGCAGCACCGATGAGAGTCGCAACAGTGTGTAAACCAACGGGCAAAGAGGAGATACCATTTTTCGGGTTTTGGGCCGTTTCTCATAGCTTTTCTTATTCATTCTGGCACCGCTGACCACCTCTACCTCAATCTCCCAACTGCGAAGGCTGAAGAATCATTTTACGAACCCATTGGCACAACAATCCGTGCCCTTCCAGCATTACAACGCCGGAACACACCTTCATAGAGGCGATGAAGGATGAGTCAGTGATTAACAGCTGGTCCATGTCCCCACTCATCTTACTCCTCAGATCTCGTGCCCTACGACTACCACTTACTCTTAAGTTTTAACTTCGCTTGGACCATCAAGCTTCGAAGCCCGCGAAGATCTCGAATAGGTGCTCAATGGATTCTTCGAAGCCTAACTCACCACGTTCTGAAGAAAGGGGATTGAAGAACAACCCGCACGTTAGTGAAAGCCCACTGATTCAATGGTACCTTTTCCAAATGGTTCGCTGTCGTTGTTTCGATTCTGTGCAGTAATACATTTTAAGCTTCGAGTGTCAGAGAACTTATCAGTTAACCCAACTATCGCGAGTTTATGACATATCAGTAAGGAATACTGGCAGCGAATACTGGGAACTATTTCTGCCTAAAATAAGGGAGGTTTGATGCAGAGTATCCATGAGGCCGGTCGGAAGTGGTGTAGTGGCAAGTGGTACGCTCACTACGCGAGCGATCCGGGGATCAAATCCTGGGTCGTGAGTCGCCCGGGCCAACCAAACCTTCCATCCCTCCGGGGTTGGTTGGTTGGTACCAGACTTGTCTGGGAGGATAAAAAACACTGACGTGAACATCGGTTGACCCCCGCAAGTCATTGTATGGGCCAAATCGCATTCAAATGCCACTGCGAATGTACATATGGAAGTAGAATGCGTGCCGCATCCCAAAAAGGGATTGATCAACGGCGAATGCTTTATCCTTTATCCTTATTCATGAGGCCGATTAACACTCGGATAAGATAAAGATGAAATGAGGCAGTTTTGTTAATCGATCAAATTTTTTCAACTGTTTCAGTGTTGTGGGAGCACTTGGCGCCTTATGGTTGGCTGCTTACATTTTCTTGTGTTCTGGCGTACTTTATTTATAACAATGTGATCAAGCCAAAGCTTAAAAGTATATGGGAGTCAAAGGAATTGATTGAAAAGAAGAAGTTTGGTGAGCTATTAGATTCAATTATGTTCCTAACGAATGGGAAGATAGCTCTTTCAGATGAAGACGTTCACGCTCGTGTTGCCGCAAGACTGGAAGCCGCTCGAGAAGCGCAGCAACGACATCATGATGCAGTTGCGGAAGAAGTTAAGCGATCGGCTGAAGAAGCAGCTCGTAAGAAGCTTGAACTTATTGAAGAGGTATGCCGGCTAAAATGACGATTTGACAAGGTTGAAAGGCCAGGAATGAGGGAAGTTTATAAACATTGCTGCCAACACGAAATGCTTCTTGACGCTATTCCTTCATTTATGTAAAATAACGGAATAGTCAAAGCATTTGTCATGTGTTCACTGCGTGAAGCTGGAACTGCTCAAAAGCTACTCCGCCACTACAGAATGTGTGTAATGAAACCCAGAAATGATCGGTAAGTGCGGTGTAAGGCATATAAGGAGAATGCTAAAGAGTGAAGACACAAAAGACCATTTCTTCGAAACTCGTTTAACGCAGTGTGCGAGTTTCCACAACAAAACACTGGGCGTGTAATGAGGGTGCAGACGTGTCGGAAAGGAGAGTATGGAAATAGAGGGAAATTAGAAACCGCTCATGGCGTGGACAGCAAAAGCTGAGCACTCGAGACGGATGAAGTCACTCATAATACCATTGACGCCATTGCCACGAATCTCGAGCCATGAAGAAGGCACAGATCTTCTTCTTGTGAAATTGTCTGCGTTTTTCCATACACGACATCCCAGAATCATTTTATCTTGGAATAAGCCATCAGAAGCCTGACAAATGAGGTTGACGTCAAGGATGGGGTGCCCCAAGGATCAGCTCTGAGCCCCTTCCCCTTCTCCTAACACTGGATACCATAACGAAGGACCTCATGGAAAGACCACTAAAGACCATCCCCTACGCTGGCGACATAGCCGCGATTGCGGGTAGTAGAGAAGAATTTCAGAGCAAAGTGCAGAAAAGGCAGAAAGTCTTAGCAGAAGGCGGCCATCTGGATTTTAAGAAGACCACGTTCCCATCTCTGAAGAGGGCACAGATCCGATCGTGGACGGGGAATGCATCGAACGAGTGGAGGTCTTCCGATACTTTGGGAGCCGGTGACGGCAGTGTGGGTCAGGTCGTAAAGGCACGGAAACGCGGCATGGATGAAATAGAAGGAATCCGCAGGAACCCTTTGCGATCGGAGGTGCTCCCAAATGCTTAAAGGGAAGGCGTACCGGACAGTAGTAAGGCCTGCCATGCTGTGCGGCAGCGAGTGCTGGCCCGTGAACAAGAATCACGAAAGGCAGCTCATTCCGCTGGATGAGGATGCTGAGGTGGGCCTGCGGCTGGGCAAGGTCAGGTCATAAGGCGCACTTCATGTGATTGCAGGCAAGACAGTTAACACTTAGGACGGCAAGTAAAAGTCTCCGTGACTATTTTCAGAGAAGAATAGGAGGTTGAGAGCAGGTTCGAGCCAAGCATCTCAAGGTACGTATTGAAACGTACACTTCATTTAATTCTGTAGGGTTGACCTAATGGACTTTCCTGCTCAGAGTAAAAACCTTATTTCTTTGGTCGGTGGTTAAATCCACTGGTGCTGCAGCTGTCCTCTTCAAATCGGGTCACCTAAAACTGATACGCCTCACATTTGCCCGAAGCAACCTTAGACTAAGCATAAGCCTAATCCTAATCATAGGCTGAAGCATACTAATCAAGTGTGTAAGCATAAGCATGAGCCTAAGCCTGCACCTAAGCTCAATTGTAAGCTTCAGTGATCGTGTAACTCTGGTGATCTCTCCAGGATGGAACTAAACGTCTCTCAGATCCACGAAACTTCACGAGAGACACTCAAAGAGGCCCTGGGCGCTGAGACGAGAAGACCTTGGACACGAGCAAAACGCTGACCCTAACGCCTTCGCAGTGTTGGGCAGGACGGAATGTGTTTGGAGGCACATCGCGCCCTTCGCGCTCTTGTCACTCGTTTTGAATTGCAAAAGGAACACCAACTGTTGCCGACCTAGCCGCTTCATTTTCGAAGGAGATTGCCTCAATGAAAGTAATCTGCGATGCGAAGACTGCGAAAATAACGTGAGCAAGAGTTGGGCGAGCTACTATTGAGTCGGGTGCCATAGAAAATTGTTATCCAGGGCAACCAATGAAGTTAGTATAGTGACGGAATTCAGCAACGTGAGCAAATTGCCTCGAAGATAAATAGGGTAGGGTCATGATATAACTTTTGTGCAGTTTCAGTACCTAAATAGATTAAAGTTATTCATGATTACATTATTTTAAAAACCTATGTTCTGATTTAATTTGTTGAAAGTGCACATGGGTGTTGTTACAAGTGATTTTTGATCATTCTTTTTTCTTTTCGAAACGATTTATAATACTTACCAGTTGGCGCCGCACGCATTGCGCCCACAACACAGATTTGCGGCGAATTTTGATGGCGCGACCAAAATTTTCAAATTTGGCTTGATACACCACGAATATCTGAATTCTCACCTAAATTCCATCCACTCCATCATCGACGGCTTTCAATCTCTTTTTCTTCGTCAACCAACCATTATCCTCTTTTTCCGGTCCCGGGACTGCTTTTCCGGACAATAAATCTCGTGGCAACTCCGACCCATTTCGGTGCGTGCCCCGCCTACCATTAGCATTTGGCCCCCTTCCTTTCGCCGACCTCTACCCCTTTTTTCACCGGTCTCTGGGACCTCTTGGAATCAAATTACGACACTTTTGGCAAACAGCGCCTACTTAGGTGCGTGCTACGCCCACTGATAGTAGTAAAAACTCAGTAAAACTTCTTCCAATGAATAATCTCTTGCTAATTCCATTCCTTCAATCAGGAACTGCGGAAGAGGAATGTGTTGGAGACAACGCTCATCTCGCGAGATCTCAATTTGAAGAAGAAAGTGACAAAAGTGGACCAGCCACAAAGTCCAGACGAAATCATCGATGCATACATTTCCTCCAAACCCGTTGTAGTTTTCAGCAAGACCTGGTGTCCATTTTGCAGGTACAGTTGTTTTCAATCTGTAGTCGAGAACTGAACTGTTTTAGTAATTCTAGTATTGTTTGGTGCTTCGAATCGTTTGTTATTTTGGAATCGTACAATACTTAAAAATTACTTGCGTCACTCTCCTATCAACGGTTTCTCACTGGTTGCGGTCCCATATTGGGAATTCAATTCTAGTCAGAAAAAAAGAAAGTAATAAGGTCCCAACCTAAGATGCATACGCCTAGATGTGCGTCGAACACGGATCTATAATCTACCTTTATATCAGCTTAATGATTTTCTGAAAGGAGCTACGAAGAGAATAGCTCAACGGTATTGGGTTCAGAGAGTGGTTTAGCAGATTAGGGAGGTACATAGCTTTGAGATCGGCATTCAAAGGCAATCTAGGCGTGTACAACCTTGATACATGGCCATGGCGACCTGGGATCCTCTCCTTAAAGTGAAGACGAATAGAAATTGGAAGCTCGGAGTTCAGACTTTCACAGGCATTCTGATTCTGAATTTGCATATATGCTCTTTCGGTCTCTTCAAAGGAAGCGATTACGATAAGGAATTTTCGCATCGGGGGAGAACCTGCACCGCACGGAGCAATTACTTGGCTGCCAAGGAAGCGATGTGTGGTCCTCCCACTGCGAAAGGTGCTGTGGTTGCTGAGCAGGACCCAAGTGACGCCCCGCCCCCAGTGACGTGACGCCCACTAGTTTCGTTGATGATCTGGATGGACTGTTTGCTGTTGGCTTTTTATTTTGGATGATCATTTCCCTTCTAGCGGCTGTAGCTTCCTACTTGCCCACGTAGTGCCTTATCAATCAAAACACTATGCTTGTTGGCATGATGGCGGCTATCGGGGTTAACACATCCGAACAGCATCGTTCTTTAGCGTCGATCATTTATGGTCGAAAATGAAAGGGCAATCAAAGGGGTACTATTTTGCTTATTTTTGACGGATTTCCTTGCTTTTTTCGCCATAGGCGTACTAGCGAGACCCCCACGTCCCCTATAAACCCCTTCGAAATCTATCGTAATCGCTTCCTTTGGAGCAACAGTTCAGGGAGGGTCCGAAAATTTCAATGCCACTACTACTGAGGGATACACGAGCCCTAGTGAAGAACATATGCAGTGGAAATAATAAACGAACTTACCTCAGAAACTCAGAAACAGGGTGGAAAGTCCCTCAAAGATGGGTGTTCTTGGGGATTTCCCCAATCCCGCCCCCTTGCCGGCCGTCATTGGACGCGTCGGCAATCGTGTTCGTTTTGGGACCACAGGTAAAATTGGTTGAGAAATGGAGCGCGTTTACAGCGGGCATGTTCAGACAACTCGTCCAACATGCGTTTTTATCCATTGTTGAGCGGCAGACGGAGAGTACCTGTCCAAGACCCTCCCTGACGTTTTTTTTCAGTTTTTCATACATTAGTCGTCCGGTTTTCATCTACAACTTCATTATTGGTGGTTTTTTCCCGCGAAACCGTTCCTGAACTGTTGCTTTAAAGAAGGATCCTGCAACAAGCTCGAAAGTCGGTGAAGGGAAAGCCTACTTAGTGGAAAAACGGACGGACCCCTCTAGAGTGTGGACCGATACCCAAGGGTATGCCCCCGGCAACCTGGTAGCATGGCCATTCCGCGGCGCTATCGGCACGGCACGCCTCCCTGTCACTGCTTCTTTAGCCGTTTAGCAGATAGTTGAGGGCAGCATCGACGAGAGCGCGCTGGTGTGGATAAGTGCGAGCAAGTAAGAGGTCCCATTTTTAGGTTCTGGGCTGTTTCCATGTTTCTTCTCCATCCATGCATCACTGACCACCCCATCCTTATTCCTCATGAGCTGCCCTTTCATCGTAAAATCCGCCTTTAATTGAATTCATTACACTAGCTTTGCTGCTTCAGCAGTAGTCATAATTGAATACATATGGAATCACCGACTAGGTGACTATGTGAATTAACATCTTTTCTTCGCATTTCGGAGCCAGACGTTGAACAAGCCACCGGAATGCGTGCTTATTTTTCAGGAAAGCTAAAGCAGCATTGGCAACACTTCGACTACGAAAAGAACAATTCGAGTACATCGAGTTAGATGAGCGACCAGATCTGCCCATGGATGCTATACAGGATGAATTTCAGAAGAGATATGGTAGCAGATCCGTCCCAAAGGTATGATGACGCTTGTTCAGCTGCCACGTCTTCATGGATCTTGATTGTTAATTATTTGAAGGTGTTCATTGGTGGGCAGTTCATAGGAGGCGGAGATGATACCGCTCGACTCTTGCATACCGGGGAGCTGGAACGTCTAGTGCAAGCAGCACTGAACTCCCAGTAGCCATCGACGGTTCGCTTACGTACATTGTTGTTTAGTTAAGAAATGATGCTACGCAACGCCTGAGTGGAAATACTGTGTATATTGTGCTTTTGTATAATAATATATGTCCAACAATGCAAATATCATATAAAGTATTTATCTAAGACTACGAACCCGTTTTCACCGGACTTCTATCCAACCTTAAACGATCACATGCCAAAGAATTAAAAATTTTGCAGAACTGTCAAGCAAAAACAGCTATCATTATACCAACTTCACTGCGTCAGTAATACAGAGAGCTAATTTAGAGGACCTTAGAGTGGCGTGAACACAGCATTATGCGGAAGATCTTCATTGTGACGTCGTTCTCCTCTCAGCTGTGATTGTCCACTCGTAAACACGTTCGCTGTGTTCTTCATCCAAAGCCTGAACAACAATTTACGTCAGCGTAGTTGGTTTGTATGAGCTGCAGTTACAAAAGCTAGTTAGACTTTCGTAAATTCGAAAGCTCACCTTTGAAGTGCTCTGCCCTTCTGTACCTAACTCCATGGGTTCGCCATGCTCCTCTTCGTCTGTTGCACACGGTTTGATAGCGGTATTTAGCCGATCTACCGCCTTCTCCAACGCCATTTTGAATCCTTTCGACCCCATTACGGGGAACGATGGATCTGCACTGCCACTGATCCACCCATTTATGCGATGTCGTAGCCTGAACGTCAACCTCAATCATTTATCCAAAAGCTGAAGTAAAACGTTCACGATAAGCAGGTAAAAGAGTGAGGTTGCAGAAAGTTTGTCATTTTATTTTTTAGAAGTACAATTTTACACACCAACAAAATGTTCAAGCTGAATGAGAGGACCTGCACCTCTAGCAGTGGAAAATGTTTCGCGCTGCGAAACGCGAAGAAGTCACATTCTGTCCTAGTGAACCATACCCGTGTTCGAGTACGCATAACTTGGACCGCAGGCTCCGCGATAACAAGGGAATCGGTGGTCGAGGGGACTAACACAAAACTAGAGGTGAGAGGGATGTCGCGAGAGATTAATAGAGCCACTGAAGGAAATTTCGCTCACAACCGCTACCCCAGAGGCTGGGATCTTTCTCCTCTCACTACTGCTGCCCCACACATTGGCCATAACCTCACATTCCTGAAAATCTCGAAGTATAGGGATGTAACGGTAAAATCCTCAACTTCCATAAATCTCGTGAGAATTCGAAACACTTCCCCTGCTTGAAAATTCAACGGATTGTGTGCTCTTGGTGAGTTTCGAAATTGATCCTCATGCCACTGAAATTCCAGTTAATAACATGAATTCAAAAAATCTAACGTACCCTGTCCAAGATCTTTCCACGAAAGATTTGATCAACTCTTCGAAGTCGCTCGGCGGTTCCATGTATACCTTAATTAGGTAAATGGCTCTCAGAATTATTGAGCCGCCAGAAAGGTGTCACATCACCCGCTATAGTTTTGTCAATTTGTTGGAAAAAAGTGGACATTTGAGAATATGTAAGCCCGTCTAGGAAGAGTGTGAGCATTGCGAACTTATAAAACTAAATTTGTTTGAGTACTTGATTTTTGCTAGTCCCTCTTCATGGTCGCCGTCCATGCGATTTTCCAAAATCCAAGTGACATTTGAATACGACTTGCCCAGTGCAAGAACTTGCGAGGACAGTGCATATCAAAAAACATCTTGCGCTTTCATTCCCCCCCCCCCCTCCTCAAGCTAAACTGGTGGCAATTGATCGAACACAAAGAATGACAGAGTAGAATTGTCACGACAAGAATTAATCCGAGCCATCTGCAGTAACTGGGCTACATGCTACCAACAAACCCCGTTGGCGACACAAGTGCTAACGGTGGGCGAAGCGTGCATCGAAGTGGGCGGTGTATCCCACAAAAGACAGTTCGGTTCCGAGGTAAGCTGAAGACCGGAAAAAATGTATAGAGGCGGCGAAAGAGGGGCAGTCAGGTACCAGTGGTGGATGGAATGTGCGATGGGGCGGTGTTTGCCACGGAACCTTGTAAATCGGTACGAGATGTGCATGAGATCAGAAAGAAGTGAGGCTGGCGAGGAAACAAAGATCGAGGGGAGGGGCATGCACCGAAATGGGCGATATTTCCCACTCACCAAACTTACAAATGGGTTCTGATACAGTTCCAATACCGGAAAAAAGTGAACAGATGTTGGCAAAGGGCGGGGGGGGGAGGGAGTTCAAATGTTAATGGTGAGCGGGTATGCACCGAGGTGAACGGGATTTCCCAATCAACTCTCTGCACAATCTCGGGAATGACTTGTGCAGAGACCAGGAAAAAGTAAATAGAGGCGCAACAGATTACCATAAAAGGAAGTGCGTCACAATAATGAGACCGCTAAAAACACTCAAGGCTAGTGTATTGCTGAATATTGGTCGTTTCGCGCGAGTATACTAAGGGCACATACACAGACAGCAAATAAGGCAATGCAACTTTACTCTTACACAGTAACCCACTGCAACTTGACTTTGAGGAAGATTTACAGGATACCTTTCATGCGCCAATTACATGCTGTTTTCGAGGTATCGCGAGCTTTTTTTCCAGATAAGATTTTCTAGAGCTTTTTTTAGATATGGAAACCTTTAATGTATATCTTATGAAACAGCACGACAACAAAAAAGGCAGGTATACCTTGAGAAGGTACTCCAAGGAATTGATGGCTGCGGTTTCATTATAGCGACGAGACCGATCGGACATTTCCGACTGCTGCTTGCGTGATTCATATCCAGCTTCATTGAAATATGGTTCCGGTACCAAGATTAATGCTGAAAACGGGAATTTGCAAGAGTCCACTCATAATAGCATGCATGAGGGTAACTTAATCCTGACCTTGTATTGAAAGCAACACTTGGAGGATATTCGATTTTGCAGGATTCCATGTTTCAACACCCTGGCCGGACCACGTGCCGAGAAGGCTTGTGCACACCTTTCCATTTTGGTAGAGATTCGGATTGAGTTGTTCTTGTGAGTAGGCCACGTATGTTACCTAATAGTAAATAACTTTCACGTCCAATTTTCTTATTCTAAATCTTTCATTCTGAAATCTCTATCGATCTGTAATTATTAGCCACTTCAACCATGAAACGCACCTCGGGCGGTTTTTGTGGATAGTCAGCGGGAAGTTTGAACTTGAAGAAGAATGGAGTAGTATCAAAAGGAGTTCCAACAGGTCCAATTATGAGAACGTGCAGAACGTTCAGCCTTAATGAGTTTTCCATACAAACTAATGCCAAATGGTTCTCGGTTACGAAAAAAGTTTCCCACCTGTTAGCGAACGCATGGACATGAATGTTATCAGGAACGTGTTCGGAAAGCACCTTATGCTCCTTGAACACAGCAGAGTAAAACTTTCTGCTAGGCAATCCATCGACAAGCTCATTTCTCTCAGGATACTCGTCCAGTATCTAAACCCATCGATAAAGTAGGATTCAAAAATTCGAATACTTAGAGCAAGTTGCTCCGTCATTAGAGCTTAATGCTCTGAAGAGATAGACATGATTAATTACCCATGAGATAGGAAAAAGAACCAGTCATCTTCTCTAGAAATGGGGGGTCATATTTGGTCCATGGGACTTGGGATGTGTGGTATTGCTGCAGGGAACCTAAGTGAGTGCAACAACCAAAGGCCTCCAAGAACTGCCGATCGCCATTCCGTTTCTGCCTCTATTTTTATGCATTATCTTGACACAAAAGACTAAAGAAATGAGGAACGAGATGAAAAGTTTAGCTATGGCAAAATCATAGGTTCAAGCATCCAACACAGCCCTACTGAGATCACAATAGCTGATTTTCACCAAATGAAAAGGAGAAGACGAAGAGAAGATGCCTCTGCGACTTAAAGGACGAGTGCGCGGCGCAAGAGCACGGATTTATCGGGTCCATATACTTCGATTTACTGCGCGCAAATTTTTCAGTTCCCAATATACTACATCAAACTGTAGGGCCGATAAAGTGCAACGGTAAGGTAGAAGCGAATTCCTTACACTCAGAAAGAAGTTTCACAATTTTTTTCAAATTTTCACGAGTTTTCACAACATCATAAAAAGCTAGGAACCACTAGCAAAAAACTAGCACTGATTAGAGGCGCTGGTTCCCATGTAGCTCGGCGATACAAAGAAAGTGATTTAGGATGAAATTATTGCCATTTGAATTCCAAAAAACACATTTTCGAGGAAAAGTGCACGAAAATCTCAAACCATAAATTTCAAAACGAAACAATACCTTTTGAATTTCCACTTTCCAAACCAGTTTTGGCACTTATATAATAGAAAGCTTGAATCTTGTAGTTTCCCATGAAGTTACAAACACAACTTTGAAAAGGTTATGGTTGTTCAATAGCAAAAAAAACTCACATCCTTAAGAAGATGGACACACAGCCCCCAAAAAATTACTACCGGACGATTTTTGATCGACCAACCTTTCAACGAAGTTTTAGTATTCACTCGAACTCATGTCTTGTAGGTCCTATGAGCGCTTTCTACACAAAGCACTTTTGAAAAAAAAAGTCGGGACCGTGAAGGTTGAAATCCGCCCGTGCCATAAACAAATTCATCAACATCTCAACCAGTTGAGAAATCAAATTGTTTCGACCTAGATCCAGAGAAAATTATGGCAATCAAAGGAGAACTGCAAATTCTGTACTTGTCGAAGAATACTTGTCGAACCATGATGTCGAATAGTGCGAGTTGTGCATTTACCACATAACCAGTTACGGGCATCCAAAGTGATCTTATCATTCACTTTCAATAAGCCAACACACAAGAATAAGAAGGAAAGGAAAACTACCTCAAAACTTCCAGCTGCACGTTTGTCTTTTGGCCTGTTTGTACCACTTTTCAACGACAGTTCAGCTTCATGAGAAACTCTGCAACAGCAAATGTATGAAGGCATAATATCTCACATATCTCGCAAATGTTGCTGTTACATGTGTATTTTCACATGTCCATAAATAAATGAAATAACTAAGCATTGTCTTATCGCGTTCTCCTTCATTAGCTCGAAAAAAAAATGTTCAACGAACTTGAGGAGCTGCCCTTTCGATAGACTAAATTCTTTCTTCACTTAACAACTTACCGATTCATGTCGCAAGAGTCACCCATTGCACTCAACTTCTTCTGGCACGTATCCTTGACCTAAAAAATACTCTAAATAGCTTCACAAGAATGCTGGGTTGTGAACAAAACTTTCGCCCCAGGCGGGACTAGAACCCGCAACTGCGGCCTAAAACAGCAGTTAACAAACAAAAACAACTCTAAATAGCTCTTTATACCTGAGCCGGTTTATGAAAAGCATTTAAAAAAGTTTCAGAAGTGGACCAACTTGAGAGTGAAGTGAGTCAAAAGAATACGCCTGCAAGACGTCCATCAATCGAAGGATCATCGATGGATAGTGATAATCCACAGAGCGCCTGCAAAACAGCAATTAATCTGCTTCTCCACACATTGTCACAGTCTCTATAAAATGCTTTGAAGGAGAGCAACTTACGCGAACATAATGATCTCATGGAGAGTAGGATATTTGATCAACCGCGGCGTTTCGTATTTCTTTCCAAATACGAAATTCAGCTGCAAACATTTCTTTGAGCGAACTGAGAACAACGTGAAGCATGTACACGAATACGTTGCAAGGCAGGGGTTAAAAATTAGCAATACAATTCCTGTCACCTTTTCATCAAACAGTAATTGAAGAAGTAAAGGTATGAATGTTTAAAGTATAAAATCTTACTTACTTCCTTCCAGAGAGATTCTTTACACAGAGAGTTGTAGGACACGAATCCACAACGATGCAAGAGCACCAGCGCACTAGCGAATGTTCGTTTGATCTAAAGAGAAGCTTTCACTGCATGTGAAAATTGGATAACGAGGGAAATTGCATTCTTCTCGCGGATGCACGCGGAAGGATTATGTCGTTTCTTCAGTTTGAGCAGTTTTCCACAAGAGCCTCAGTGCCCTATGACCTCAGGCGCAGGTGGACGCTCCCAAGCAGGGTCAATCCTATGTTGCTACAAGTAGCAACGGGGGGGGGTCGTACTTGGATGTACTTGGAGGGGGTCCTATTCTCTCGGTGGCCGGCGTGCTCAGCATTGCTTGTGAAAACATGGATAATAGCCAGCACGTTACGTTAACGCAAGATAACTGATACTAAAGCATCTATAAACCCAGCTTCCTTTTGAGTGTTTTCAAATTAATCAGCGAATCCGAAGCGCGGCCGAGGCGTGGCGTACACCAAGGCAGGGGATATCAATGCAAGCGCATGCTAAAAACATTCTCACGCATCCTATGACCACACGTTATTGTTTTCCCTGGAGGCTGCGGCCAGTAATACCTTGAAAAAACCGCGTTCTTGAGAAAATCGCTTGGAGAATGCCCCTCCAAAAAAGTAGCAACGGGACTGTTTCTCGAACTACTGACTTTTTAGGAACGTTTGGATACTTTTTAGAAAGCTTAAATCCTGTAGTTTTTCATACCGGGTCCAGCTTCCCAAATAATTGAGTTGGAGGAAGTTGTGATCCTTTAAAGTTGAAAAGTCGCGCTTTCGGAAAAATAGTTCCGCGAACCCCCAAAAAATTAGCAACAGGACTAATTTTTGAACTACTGAATTTTCGTTAACGATTGGGTACTTTATAGAAAGCTTGAATCTTGTACAAAGTTTCTCACGTCGGGCTCAGCTTCCCAAATAAATGTGTTTGAAGGAAGTTATGATCGTTTAAAGGTTGAAAAGTCGCATTTGCACAGAAAAAGCTCCAACGTGCTAAATTTTTAATAAATTAGATGAATTTTCAGCAATGATTGGAGAGAGAATGATTTGTATTTTTCAAATCAACTCCGGCGCAAAAGCTGGAATATGAAGAAAGTCATAGACCTAAAAAGAGGAAGGTGAAATTGTAGCGCAAATTCATTTCTTGCTCATAAACTTAATTATTTCAGATTGTCTGAGAACAATCCACTCTACTCAAGGAGGATGACTGTTGGTGATCCAGAATCCACCTCCGTCGTCCGAGGAACCTGAAATTTTACAAAGAAAAGTTCGTCTAGATCTCAATCTCCCCTTTCGACACCTGTTCCCGATCAACAAACGCGCCCCACTGGACGATGTCAGACTCTGCGATTGGAGCGATTCGGTCAAATGTGAATCGCGCGACGGTCGCGCGATTCACATTACTCCCATCATGACCAAATCGCTCCACTCCCATTGTGGCTGGCGCCGCCCCCCTCGATCGATACGTTGATAGCCTAGCGGCGGTGTATCCAAATGGGGGCGGTCAACATTGCCAGTGGGCGCACTGGGCTGTAGTTCCACCGTAGGCGCACCCATATTTCGCCAATAACTCGTCCGGATCACCGAAGAATAGATTATCGTGTTGATCGGTCTGCAATAGAGGCGGCCAGAGTACGATTGCCCTAAGCCTCCAAGCTCACATTCTTAACTTTCTTCCGGATTCATTCTTGTGCGCTGATCGCTTCCTGGCGCCTTCACTATTAAATGACTGTAAGAGTTACTTTCGAATTGATTGATCACCGTCCTTCTGGAAGCTGTGATAACATGCACTTTCCAAGCAAATTGCAGTGGAGTGACAATACTTCCGATAGCGTAGGTAGGTAACTATTGTTCAGTTTGTCTTTTTGTTTCGAAAAACAGTTTCATGTGGGTGTATCCAGTTTCATGTTCCAAGTTCATTGTGACTTCACCAGCAGCTGATTTTTTGGGTTGCTTCTCGCCGAAAGCTGTGAGATAAGTATTGAGACTCGCTTGATGTTTCTCTAATGATAATGCGTGAGAATCTCCATCACCGTGGCATGAATAGATATTTTTAAGGCAAGTTCTGCTGGTTTATTTTGTAGGGCTTTTCTAAGATAAGGATGCCGTTATAGATTTGTCTAACTATGCGTGAAAAGAAAGGGAAGATTATGTCGACGGTGCTAACTTTGACACACGAAATTTTGGCAGGTGAGGAGATCTGGATTTAAACATGGAAGAGAAAATGACCCACGCACCGGCTTGAGGGTTTTCCCTTGAGGTACGCTATAAAAATCGCACCAATGCCCCTGGTGAAAAAGATCCCAAAGGTTCGAAAACACAGCAGCTCGTTTTCTATTCTCGATTGACTACTTTCCAAAAAAAGCATATCTCTCCGCAATCTCTGGTCCTTGCGAGTCCCTTAGGCATATCATGTGCACATTGCACACGTTTATTGTCTCCTCTAGTATAATTACGATGGTTGTCATTCTCCAACGGTGAGGCAGGACATAGAAATTCACCACCAAAGAACTCAAAAGAGTGGTGAATCGCAGAATATTACACCGGAATCAAGTTAGTGAAGTGTGATTCGCAGGTGATGCTAAATACTCAAAAGGGATGAGAAATAATGAAATACGCAGCTGGAAGACTCCAAGTGAGCTGCTCAACCGTAGTACTGTTTAGTTAGATGTTTGTACACAAAAAGGCCATTGTGAATAGGAAAAGCGCCTAGTTTAGTCAAAGCAATAGACTTCCAATACTGTTCCCTGAACAGCAAAAGACTTAACATACTTACCACGTATAGTAATTGTTGTCCCTCCACTGTAAGTGCTGGAAAGTGCAATGTATCACAGTTCAGAATGATCGTGATACAATCACTTCGAATAAAACTCTAGCGTCAATCTAGTAGTTTGAAGTGTGCAGCTGCGATTCAAGGCGAAGAATAGAAGGGCCGAAGATAAGGGTCGAGAATGGTGAATTGGGGCTATGCAATCCAGTCCTAACTCTGCGCGCTCTAAGTTGCAGATCGCGATCAACCACGATAAATCTATTCGTTTCGGTGATCCGGACGAGTTACGATATTATTTGGCCCGCGATATGGCGGCGCCTAGGTGGCAACTACAGCCCATGCGCCCCAATGGCAATGATGAACGCGCCATCATGACCGCTCCTCCCCGCCTAGCGCAGCTCCGCAGTCAACGTATCGATCGAGAGGGGCGCGCCAGCCACAACGGGAGTGATCGCGCCCATCGCGCGATTGGAGCGATTTGGTCATGATGGGATTAATGTGAATCGCTCCGATCGCAGAGTCTGACATCGGCCACTGCAGTCACCCAGGGCGCGACCACCACATTCAAAACCGGGTCAATACGCGCTTCAACTCTTTTTTCGGCATTTTTCATCATTTCTTTTTGTCATCATTTTTTCAGGGGACGGAGTCTTCTTTTGTTGTTGTTCATAAGTATTACACACAGGGGGGGGGGTCGTATCAAATCGCCCATGAAGGAGGGAGGTCGTAAAAAATCCAAAAAGTATCAACGATAGGACCGACCCTGCTCCCAAGGCTCGTTAGGATGACGAAATGGCTGCGCCAGCTCTCTCTCATTGTATCGCTCTCCATCATTCTCTTACCTTGCGCATAAGGGCTCATGAACAAGCCAATCTCGCCAATCTGTATGTCTCAAATCAGCTCTTCAAAGGAATAAGTAAGTTCAATATTGGAAGCATTTTCGGTTTTTTGATTTTATCTCCACAGGCAATTCACTCCGTACATCGACTTTTGTTTTCGGATGCAATGACCGTACCTGGTATACCTAACATAGCGCAGGTTTGGAATGTATCCTCCCGCTGCACTACGCTGCTGGAGTGGTCGAGGCAAGACTGACATGGGCGATGTTAACCGTGCGTGTGCACCTCTAAGCGAAGTTGGGGTAGTATTTGAGTTTTTTGAAGAGGGTTGAAATCTGCGCAAAGCACGGTTGACCCTGGGCATGGGCCAAGAAGTTGAAGTTCAAAGCACACAAAGACGAAGGCAAAGTCCGCCCGTTGCTTACTTCACCGAAATGGGTGGTGCCAAAGCATAGATTTTAAATCGAATTAAATTTCCAGAACAATCCAGAAACCGAGAAAAAACGGATAAAGGCGACAACGAGTGATGGACAAGAAAAAAGGACGAAGCAATTACTGTCAATAATCATGCATCTCCTAATCCGCTCCAAGGGCTTGAGTTTTGGGGTCGCATCGCAGAGTCGGGAGTCTCGTGTGCAACATGGTGCCACAAGTTCAACGACGCTCGACACCGCAAATCACTGCAGGTGACAAGGTTGAGAGGGGAGGGGGGAGCCGCTTCGAACCAGCCCCCAAACCAGAATTGACCTTGGTTTTAAAATAAAAGGATAAAGCATTTGCCGTTGATCAAGCCGTTTTTAGGATGCGGCACGCACTCCACTCCCATTTGTACATTCCTAGGGGCGTTTGAATGCGAAGTGGCCATACAATGATTTGCGGGGGCCAACCGATGTATAAGTCAGTGTTTTTATCCTCCCAGACAACTTTGGTACCAATTAGGCGACTCCGGAGGAATTGAAGGCTTGGTTGGCCCGGGCGACTCACGACCCAGGATTTGATCCCCGTACTGCTCGCGTGGTAAGCGTACCACTTGCCACTACAGCACTTCCGCCTTAGTTCTAAAATAACACAACCTAAAGATCAGAAAAAACGGCGGAGATGAGCATTAGCAAGGGTGTTGAGACGTCCATACGAACACAGACCCCTACTACTGGCAGGGCATGCCCTCATCTGAGTAGTGATTACTTACAAAGAGACAGGGAATTACAGAGCGATCTCGGCTAGAATTAGAAATTAATGATGAGACTCCGAAAGACATTGAAAGCCGGAAAGTGCGTAGATACTGGCGAGGGAAGAAAGGTCAGATGCTTATGGCAAGCTGGAGGTGAGGAGAAATAAGCGGAGCTTATAAGCCCGAAGCGGGATCTTTCCTGCGCTCGCTGGTTCCGAAAGTGGACGAGATCACCGCTGATATAATTTGTTCGGGTGGAGTTAAAACAACAACCCCAGATCAGATTGGTGTGGTAACAGATAATAAAACAATAAAATAAATCGATAATGAAACACTGGATGCCGTGTTTACTGAAAATGAAGATCGGCAGTCGCCGATGAAGCCCTAAAAAGATACTCGCGGGCTACACTATCCTACCCACAAAATAGGTTGTTCGATACGACCTCAACTGGGATTGTTATAGCCGGTACAACAGTGCATTTAAAGAAGAAAATCGAACGATAGACATCAGTTTCATTTCGAATACATTGCCTTTATCATCCCTTCCACTTTCCGAAGGTAGGCGCTTTTGAACCAAACCTTGGGCATTTTAAGCACCCTATCACGCTACTGATAGTGTGCTTCCGCCGCGAAAACGCCACCTGGCATCTGATTGGACTTGATTTGATTTGATTTATTACGCGATTGGCTCGTGTGGACTTTCAATAAGAAACACAAAAAAATGAACCATCCGAAGAACAAGAAATGAAATGACATTATGACGAAAAAAAAAACAAATGAATAAAAACCAATGAATGAGCTACCAGTAGGACACCGCTAGCTCTCTACTACCCATCTTTCCTCATGAATATCTGCTTTGTCACGATTTTATTTTGGGTGGGAAATTCCAGCAGCCCTGTTCATCTTCATGAAACAGTCAGAAAGAACAGAAAGAGGGCCAAATAGAACCTGAACGTTGATGCAGGACAGGAAGAAAGACAATAACTCACTATGACTTCGAGAGAATCCTTGGATCTAGACGTTTTCGGGCAATCATCGTTCGCGACATCCTTGTTAGCAACGACTTTAACTTCCTGTGCAGGCCAAGTGCTGTAAGTCAACAACTGTTCAATAAGCGACGCAACAAATCGAGCTCGTTGCAGCACTATAGCCATATCTTGAGCCGATGATTTCACTTCCACGACAACAGACGGGGGCTAAAATGAGTACAGCAACAATAGATTTTGAGCAAAGAGAAGTAGATTTAACAAGAAAGTTTAAAAAGCTCCACCGACCTTATTCAATGACGGCACATCTTCAGTACTTCTATTGTATTCAAATATGAGAGGGTCCTTAGATGAATCCTAAATGATAATTATTAGATACCACTTCTACCATGAAGATAAATAAATAAATAAATAAAATGAAAAAATATTCCTCAAAAAAAAGACATTTCTTCTTGAAAAACACATCCCTCATACTTAACGTCCGCAATTCACCACTCCTTTGAATGTTCAATCACGTGTTCAACACTAACTGTATTAATAGAAGCAACGAAATATCTCACATTTTTGATTATCAATTGAAGAGGAGCAAAAGTTAATTCATTCCTTCGTTGAAAAAGTGCTGAATCCCGCCACTAAATACTCAGCCTACCCTAGACACTAAACAACTGAGTAAGGCTTCTATTCTTCTGACACATTACAGCTTTGATCAGTTTCTGAGCTATACAAAGCAGAAAGATGAAGCTTTATCCACGAGACTATTCGAATAAGAGTGCTTTGCAAAAGCTAAGATGATCTGCGAAGTGCTTCATCATTGTTTCCTGTTTGTAATATTTAGGAACGATTGCTCAAAAAATAAAAACAACCGTCATAGTTTCGTTGTTGTGTTTCTTCATATCGAATTAACTGAAGATCTTCACCAATGCCGCGCAAATAGTTATGGTTCTACCCTTTTACTGCCGTTGGAACTACTTAATCACCATGCTAGACGAAACTGTAAAGGCAGGAAGAGCGCCACGGCGAGACAAACGAAGTTCACATAGAATTGATTTCATTGGACATAATACTCGCAGACAGTCAATGGAATTTATGTTGAGTTAGGAAAGATTCGAAGCGACAAAAAGTGATCGGAAGCTAAAAAAGCGCGTCAAATCCCCTCGCTGGACGAACGAACAGCTAAGCTAATCGAGTAATTCCGCAACTAAATCCAAAGCTAATAAGAATGAATCACTTTTTGACAATATTCATGTCATTCTGCTGTCGACTATAACCACATTTTGGAGGCTTTTACAGAAAGCAGACGAAAACAGTGTAAATTAGAGTCCACGCTCATCACAAAAGTGAATGTTATTCAAAGAAAAATAATTGGAATGGGAATTAGAGGAAAACTCGCCGACTTCGAATAAGAAAATAATTACTCACACATTCACAAACTTCATGAGCTATGCGAACATCTTCGGCAATAGATTCCACGTAATCCCACGACAAATGCCTAGCTTTGAAGTAAGATGCGTCGTCATAATGATAATGCTGAGATCGGAGTGGCAGACGCACTGCGTCTTTAACATTGCAACAAACGCATTCCGAAACATAATGGAATATGGACAGCCATTCAGGTCGAGCTCGAGCACTGCTCTCCCTAGAATGGATCGTAACTTAAAAGTACGCAAGATATCTATTTATGTTCACTTTTACTAGCACTTCAAATAAAGTTTCGCTTTCAACCAGTGAAGCCAAGGCTAAAGTTCGTCCCACTAAGGTGGCCATTCGGCCACCTTAGTGGGACGAACTTTAATTGCTCATGAATGGCTCATGCGCACACGCATTTTTTAGCAGCTTGCAGAAGAGGTAGCTACCAATGGACATTATACGTAAGTTGCAAAATCATCGCCATTCCCCTTTCTAAGTGGAAAAATTGGACGAGCTTCTCTATGATCTGGTGTTCTCTACCTATGAGGATGGAAACTCGGTTGGGTCGGAAGCGCATGAAGTCCTGGCCATAAGGTCTGAACATCGATGAAATCTTATCAAAACCTTGCCTTAGGTAAGTATCAGACTCGTGGTTTACCTTGGATGCGGCACCATTGCACATCATAACCACAGTAGGGGCGGGATGGATCAGTTTTTCTCCGAGCTTTTCCCATGAGGTGATCGAGGGTTCTAATCACAAATATGACGATTTTGGGCGCCCTGATTACGAATATGACATTTATTTTGTCGATGGCGCTGTTCGGTGCATACTTCCTGCTCGTCTACGTGCACTCACTAATTAGTTCGCAACCAGAACTAAGCCTTTGGGAAAGTAGAGGATTTCAGAGTGAGAACGCCACCCACACATGATCCCATACACTTCATTTTCTGCCACGGCGCGTGGTTCACCCATTGAAGTCTCAATAACCTAGGAGCTGCAAGTGAGAGAGCGCACAAAATCAGAAAATAGCGTTAAAGAGAATGCTAAAAACGAGAGTCATATTCGTAACCAGGACCTCAATTAACCTCCATACACAAGTTACAACGAATTTGGTGAAAACAGCCGTGGCGAAAATTTGGCGTCTGCGCTAGAAATGGTTGCCACATTCGTGATCAAGCACCAAGGGAGAAATTTCAGCAAAAAATGTTGCCTCATCTCATTCCCACTGGGTTTGTAATATGTAGTACAATAGTGCCCCTTGACGCACATTGCCGTAGCGACAGTGCTTGTATACGCCGAGCTTGAAACCGACCTAAGGCTGACGTCAGAGTCTGCGATCCTTTGCGCGATTTTCGCGAAACCTGCGGTGGATCACAAGAGTTGGAAGTGCCCGATGAATACTGTGAGGTGTTGTTCAATCCTGCTGCAAATTCTGCTTGGCAGTGAAGATTGGAAGACGAATGTTGTGGTTCTACTTATTTCATGTTCAATGACTATTAGTTCATTGAAATGCTCTTGAATCGTTCCTATTTTTTTCAGGAATCAAACCAAATCAATCACAAAAATTGCAAGTGCCCCATTTGAACAATTGAAACACTGGATATGAAACAAGTGGAATCATAAGCAGTCTCCATTAAACCATAATCATCAAGCAGAAGTGACGGCGGGATTGGAGAACACCTTACAGTATGGATGGGGCACTTGTGATTTCCGTGACCCGTCGCGCAAATCGCGATAATCGCGCAAAGGATCGCGGACTCTGACATCAGCCTAAGAAAGACGGCATAGTGGCCTTTCACTTTCGCATTTGTGATGGTGGTGCATGGAATTTCTCCAACGTTCCGCTACTTCATATTTGACAGCACCAGTAAGGGGAAAGTAGAGGGAAAACCAGAGCAATGTGGGACAGTAATTCACACAAGTCAGCCAAAAAAGAAACTGTTCTTGAAATGGTGCATAGAGTATTCGTAGACCAATAAAGAGAAGAAACGTACAAACACGACATGCAGCAAGTTTGCTGATCATAACAGCAGAAGGCTGATGATGAATCAGTTGACGGTACGGCGCAGTTCGCGGCATAGGTATCGCGTAGCACATCTCTGTCGATGGGTGTTGTATTGTTGCTCGAACCGCTAGCGTACTGCAAAAAGTCGTGACGGCGTCTTAACTTAACCGAACCAGGTTTTGAACTGATGCTACTTGTCGCCACGAGAAGACACCGAAAACCACCATGCTTAGGGAAACTGTCGTGCACCGCGGTGTTGTGGAGTCCAGACAATCTCGCACGCCATTAACCGATCATACCTTAGTAAGATTATTTACAAATTCCAACTCACGCTTCCAGCAGAAGGGGTATCATGTCATCTTCAGGTAGAGGAAGGTTTCCTATACATGCTTCTCGTCGCTCGCAGTCTTCCACCTTGAACGAAGTAACTGAGGCGTTTTTTTTCCGCAAGCTTGACTTTTAAATACTCACAAAACATGAGAGAAGCTGAATGTCAAAGTTATCCGGGAGAGCGCGAGAACGATAGACGGCGATCATTACATCAGCAAAATCGCAGAAGCGATTTGACGTATGATGTGCTTTGCTTACCAGTAGCCTGTAAAGTAAAAACTGAAGATTCTGAGAATTGACCCTTTTGACTCTCATTAGTACACATTTGGCACATATTTTGGTGACACACGTGTGCTGTGTAAAATGGTTGAGAATCGCACCAACATTTATAACTGTAAAAGTAGAATCTGTAATGATACCTCTAATACGACTCCTGCGAAAAGAATTTTTGTGTTTTTTGCTTCGATGTCGTCGGGATTACAATCTTTGAGAAAATCCTCTAGTTCAGGGGAATTCTTCATGAAACGGGCGACAACATTAGCTATTTCAGCCAAGTCTGCCACCTGGTGATCCTTGCAACTATAAAGTCCAAGGCGACGAAGTATATTCGTAGCCTCCATTCTAAAGTATTCAAAGGTACAAGATGAATGAGATACGCGATAGAAAATTTGAAGGAGTTCATCATCATACAAGATCGCAGAAGTCACAGTGGAATCTCTGGACAAGTCTCCTTCAGTTGTGCTCACATCATCTTCCTCACTATCACTATCCAACGACTCATCGACGAAATTAATGCTAAAAGCATAAAAATCGTTTTGGGTGGAATGAAGTCGGCCCTAATAAGAGTTCGCACAAAACTCACGGCAGAATGTCAAATGGCCAAAGTTCCTCTTGCGTACCATTCAAAAATCGCACGAGCTAAAAAAGAATACGAAAACTAAAACAACGGAAGTTCACGATTAGAAACATAATCTTACCTGTTTTCCATTTTTAAGATCAGCAACAACTTGGAAAGCTATGTCACGCATATCATTGGAGGGATGGTGGATGCTTACTCCATAGTTTCCGACAAATAAGCTTGAATGAGAGATTTTTACGACCAACTATTTTCTTACTTAAATCGAATCAAAAAAACCCACCGCTTGTAATTAGGATGCGCCATTATGTCAAACAGTATACATTCTTCCTCGCCAAGCTCTTTTACCTCAAAGAAAGACAATATGCATCAATAATGTCGTATAAAAACAATCAAGATCACGAACTCCGTCTTCTGTCCTTTCAAACCATGAGATATTACAAGATCGTTCCGCGCTGTTTGTGGACAAAATTAGTCCGAACACGGTCTCTTGAACATTATTATCCCACACAATTCAACTATGACAACAAAATCTCAATCGCCTACCGGCATTTTTTGCATCTTTGCGCGCTACAATAACTCCTGGCAAATGGTCTTGTTGATCGAGGTCAGGATCATGCGGGATTAGCAGATAACCAGGAATCTTTTCTTCGATTGTACCATTCATCCACTGCACATCCACCAGTGAATGTGACATCAAAACCTAGAAAAAGGTATGTCGAAACCTGCAAAAAAGTGTGATGCATAAATTATTCAAGTGGCAGTGGTGAGTTAGGATGCGGTCCTACTTTGCGACCTTCCTGCACTTCGAGTAGTGGAGTAGATTAGTAAGGCCGATGTCACACTTTGCGAATCGCGCGATTCGCCAGCGTCTGCGGTCGCGTCGCGGCCAGTGAATCACTCAATTAGCTGGTACCGC